TTGAAGATGTCCCGAGACCTTTTGATTATAACACACCAACGTCTTAGTCACTGAGCCACCGTGGCACCAAGTATTAAAGGAACAACTGGCAACTAACTATCCACGGTAGCACGATTTATCCAAATCCACCCAAATTCACCCAAATCCACCAAATTTACTCAAATCCACCCTAATCCAATATTTGATAATATATACTGTTCTTTATGCCAAATTGACATTTTTAATTTACAATCATCTTAACGTTTTGGTGTCAAAGTTCCCCTCAAAATGCATAAAGAACGGTATATTATCAAATATCGATATAAATGATTGTCTTATAAGTTGAAATAATAATAGATTTGGGTAGATTTGGTTGGATTATAGTAAATCGTGCTACTCCATAATAATAACAATATTTATTATATACCGAAATACAGATGTGAGGTCACCCTTTGATGTTAGCGTACGATCTCTCTCTCTCTCTCTCTCTCTCTCTCTCTCTCTCTCTCATTTCATTTCAAATGCTAAAGAATTATTGAAATAAAATTGAATCACATGTTAGTCCCGAAATTGCCTAGTTTGTGTCGAGTGGACGTTAAACCCCATTCTCTCTCTCTCTCTCTCTCTGTCCATCCATCCCTCTCCCTCTCTCTCCCTACTGTCTCGCTACTGGACCCTGTATGATTTAGGACAGCTGAACCATATGTTAGTCCTAGTTTGTGTCGAGTAGAACACCATTCCTCTCACTTTCTCTCTCTCTATCTCTCTCTCTCAGTGGCGGCGCCAGGGGGGGATGGGGGCATGTGCCCCCCCCCATTAATCTGGTCTGCCCTCTGTTTGCCCCCCCCCCCCCCAATTATTTTAGAAAATCAAAAAAATATTTGTGATACGTTTCGGTAATCAATACCTTCTACGGTGAATAAATCCCACATTCCCACTCAGTCATAAACTTGCATGTTGTAGAGCATTTCCGACAGTCTTTTTTTCAAAATTTTCTTGGCGAGGTCACCAATCGACTCGCTACTTCGGCGCTCACAAGGGGAATTCGTTGAGGTTCGCAAGTCCGTTCGTTTGACATTTTGTTCTCTAGTCGGATAAACTAGTGATCAGGCGACGGACGGTATCTGGGCAGATATATTTTAATTTTAAGACTATTTATCTCGACGATCGGTGCCTGACAGAATACTGTAAGACAGCATTTCCGGCAGTCTATTTTTCAAAATTTTCTGGGGGAGGACTCCTTACTTTGACGCTCTTGAGTGGGCTTCGTCGTGATTAGCAAGTCCGTTCGTTTGACACTTTACCTCATCGATCAGTGCCTGAAATACTGCCAGGCTGCATTTCCGGCAACCTGTTTTCAAAATTTTCTGGGGGAGGCCACCTACCCGTAGTTAAAGCTCGTGCCTTTGCCCCCTTAACCTTTGACTTTGCCCCAGCTTTGCCCCTCCAATCATCGACGGCTGACGCCGCCACTACTCTCTCTCTCTCTCTCAGAAAAAAGGTCATTAAGTACCTGTAATAAATGATATCTATAGATATTTATAGAAAAATCATTAACTATATTTATAGAAAACATATAACTATAATAACTATATTTATTACACGTTAACTATATAAATATTGTTTATTCCAGATATACATGTATATCTGAAAAACACATTAAAGATACATTAGGGGAGCTAAGATAAAGAGCTGGTAGTTCTCACTATAATAGTTAAAAACTAAATAATGTAAAGGCAATTTGCTGAAAATGTCAGTCAAATTGATCCACTATGAACCGAGAATTAAGCGATTGAAATTTCGGCCTAGCCTCGATCATCATTATATATACTAAAGTTTGTACATAAAAAACATACTCTCGATCATTACTAAAGTTTAGCCGCAAATGGGATCATAATATAGTAAATATCGCAGGCTAGCAATGCCATCGAGAGTTGATTATGGCCTGGATAAGTTAATTAATGTCTAATTAATAATTTAGATAACATTTCAGGCCTAAAGAAAGACCTGCAATAGGCAGATTTAGCTCTTGCATAATGCATGTTTAACTTTATTATATGTAACAAAAAATATATATATATATCGAAAGCACCCATTAACTAATAGACAACATTTATATACGTATATATCAAAAAACACATTAATATACTAAGACAATATTTATATACATCCAAAAAAAAACGGAGATATTAAACATGTTGTACCGTATGACATCCACTATAATTTCTTTAATATGACTTCGTTTATTTTAGAGTGTCATTTATTCAATTATTTAGAACTTTTATTAAATTATTCTGGAATTTATAGCCGTCTAGAATGTACCTAAACTCACCTCCCTCTTCCTATGCACTGATATTTTTCTTATTGACGTCAAAATAATAATTGAAATGCAGACGAACGACAGTTTAAATGCCATCGTGAATACAACAGTCTGTACCACGTGACACTCAACATTATAGCATCGTTGACATAACGTCATAGCACTCGTCACCGTCACATGTAGAGTGTTTTCTACGCAGATCTTCAAAAGCCTACTAATTGTTTATTCATTATTATTTAAATTTACATAATTTCTTTGACAAGTTAAGGAAACCCTGCGGCTGTAGTCGACGTTTTTTTTTCCGCGTAGATTATGAACTGTTTGTGTATATTCAACCTTGAGTTCAGTTAATCGTAATGGTTTTTTTTATTATTATTATTTCGTTGCTGAACTTAAGATTTCACACTAGACAACCCCGTGTCTGTTTATGTTTGATAAAGCAATTTGAAAATTAAGACATATATTAAACTCAATTTTATTTCATTTATGAATGCTGAAAATAAACAAATGGAGCCGCGGTGGCTCAGTGAGTGAGACGCTGTCTCGCTAATCTGGGGGGGGGGGGCGGTACGTGTTCGATCCGTCAATCCCTGTGTCAGTGGTGCAGGATGGAGGGCTTGGGAAGGGATAGCGTATAGTCTTTCGGATGGGACGTAAACCGAGGTCCCGTGAACACATTTTCGTGCACGTAAAAGATCCCTTGGCATTTGGAATTAGATATAAGGGTAGGTAGGAGCTGCTGTCCGGACAAAATTTCCTTCATAGGACACTGTATGACGTATGCCCGTCTTCATTAGCCCAGCTCGGAGCAGAACAGTAGGACGTTAAACCCCATTTCATTTCATTTCGCTTTCAATCTATTTTACTTGGGAATTTCGAAAAATGAAAGTCCGTCAATCGATACGCTTTTGTTCAAGGAACAAGAATGCCAATTGTCGATCGCCACCCCCGCTCGCCCGGGAATCCTGTTAGGTACGTCGCTGGACCGGGAATCATGTTGAGTACGAAAATGGGGCTGGAGTCATGTCATGTTCCTGAAGCAACGACTGCGAGTTTGGCAACATCTGGATAAGATGTACGTAGTTAAAGGGAGATCAAGCCCTCCATTGAAGCTCGGCCGGGAGTCATGTTAGGTATACCGCTTTATTAAGAGTCATGTTAGGTACAAAGCTGCATGGAGTGGGAATCATGTTGGTTCAAAGCTAGACCCGGAGCCATATTAGGTACGCCGTGCGGCCTTTGTCCAGACAAAAGTTCCCCCATAACACACTGTATGGAGAATGCCAGTCTTCAGTCTCCCCAGTTGGCACTGAATAAGATGGTTAATGATATATAGCAAAGGGAAATAACTCCATTGAAGGTGCTTCAAAATCGGGACTCTAACGCTGGTTTCGGCTTTATTAAAGGCTATTCAGCTCTACGGACTATGCTTTCTAGCTATATCAGTGTTACATATTCAAGGATAGATTGATAATCTATGCTGTCCACTGACTATATATACAAGGGGAATCTATTATTCTGTTAGGAGGATTGGGATAGCCTAGTGGTTTAGAGTGTCTCACTTCGAGCTATACCTGGCAGCTCACCTCTGACAGGGGCGGATCTACGAATTTTGAAAAGGGGAGGCGCTGCAAAATGAAGGCATTGACCGCGGAGACGGGGCACGCCGCTGAGGGGGGGGGGGGGGTCCCAAGAAAATTATCAGTATTTCCTTGCATCTGTAGCCATTCCAAGAGCTATTTCCCAGACTGGTGTGTTTAAGTCGATGGTTTGAGTCATTTGGGATCCCTACAACAGGTTGGGAACGGACATATTTGAGTCTGAGAAAAGGCAATTTCAGCAGTAAAAGAGGGCACTGTCGAAAATTAGGGGGGGCGCACCATTAAATCCGCCTCTGTCTGACTTGCGGTAGTGGTATTAATGCCTGGTGTTAGAGAGAGTAGAGAGAGAGAGAGAGAGAGGGTTTAACGTCTACTCGACATAAACTAGGTAATTTCGGGACTAACACATGGTTCAGTTTCATTTCGATAATTCACTTGCGCGTACGGGTCTTTAGTAGTGGGAGTAAACCGGAGGACCCGGAGAAAACCCACGAGGTTGGACAGGCCCTGGTGTTAGCAGATGTAAGTTTACTCTGGGTACTATGGTTTCCTCCCACAGGAAAGACTCCTGTGTGCACTAAGCTGTCTGTGATATCACCATTGGTGGAAGTGGACATTAAACCCTAACAGAAGAAGGTTATTCTAATACTCATTTGTACCTAGGCCTACTGGATCCGGGGTGGGGGGGGGGCTCAATGGTTAGCATGTGCACACTGTATCATAAAGTCTGTCATTGAGTCATCTGGCCTGGTTTCGATTCCCCGGTTGTACGTGACAAGGAGCAGGGTCGCCTGTCTAACCTTGTGGGTTTTCTCCGGGTTCTCCGGTTTCTTCCCACTGCGAAAGACCCTTACAATGCAAGCGAATTACAGAAATAAAATTAAACCATATGTTAGTCCTTAAATGACCTAGTTTGTTTCACCTGGCCTTAAACCACATTTCTCTCTCTCTCTCTCTCTCTCTCTCTCCCTACTGGACACTGTATGATTTAGGACAGCTGTAAAAGTTCTACATGTACCCATGAAAACTGGGAAACTTCGCTGGCCCTCAATATTTATTGATAGACCCATGGGCGTATAAACATAAAAGTAAAATATAAATTTATTAAAATATTTTATTCATAATGTGGCTGTTCTCAGATAATTTATTAAACAAAGACTCTGTGTGAATAAATTCTGTAATTCCGTCCATTTTTCACTTTGTTTCAGGGATAACTTCTCCAGTTCGTCTATAACAGGTCTTTCATTGGCGATAACTTCGGCATGTAACTGGGGGAAAAAAAAGACAACATTTTTAACATTGTATACATTTTTAAACTAGGTCTGTGAATAAATCCGTTATTAAACGTCATTTGAGGTGTATTGAATCAGACGGACATGTTCATGAATTTGAGCAGTGAACAGGGGAGGAGGGGTGGAGACAAAACGTAAAGTTTGTTGTGAGGTCTGGGAGATTACCCAAAAATCTTTAAAAATCAGCGCTGTGACAATAGGATCAGGGTCTAGTGACGCCAAAACGCATGTTTGTTTATGCAACATTATTTCCATATGTGAGAAAAAAAAATGCTCTGCACAAACAGTGGAGGCCTTCTCACACCCACCTGCCCTTGCAAACTACAATATCTGCAATGAATTGAAATATATATTGAAGCTTAAGGAAGTTTTGCCCAGGCAGCAGAGGGTTCTTTCATGTTTACAAAATCGTGGGTGTGTCTTTCTGCTCTATGTAATTCCTTGTACATGTATGTCTAAGAGAGAGAGAGAGAGAGAGAGACATGGGTTTTAACGTCCATCCACTTGACACAAACAAGGTCATTTCGGGACTAACCTATGGTTTGATTGTATTTCAATCATTCACTTACATGTAGGGGTATTTAGTAGTGGGAGGAAACAGGAGGACCCGCAGAAAATTCACTACTTGGACTAGTTGGACAGGCAACCCTACTCCTTGTCACCTACAAGCAAGGAGTAAAGAATCGCTACTTGACTCAATGAGAGACCATATGAGCTAACGTGCACGTGTAAAACCATTCGGCCACCCCAACACCTCTGTATGTCTTAGACCAGCCTAAAAGTCTACTAAAATCTATGTCTGCTATTTGACTATTGGACATAATTATTAAATAATGATAAAAAAAACATGGCTTTAATATTTCAGTCATTGTTGTTTGTATTTTAGAGGAGAGCCGAAAAAACCTCCCCTTAATCAGCAAATTGGAAAAATCGCGCCCCTAAAAAAGCTCTCCCAGTTTTGATAGAAGAGTGATTTAGAAATTAAGGAGAGTGATCTGATATTAAGGAGAGTGATTAGTTGTGTGTATGGGAAATGGTTCTGAAGATCAATAAATGCATGTAATGGGGGCATTCCTGGTTTCATAAATGATAATAAACCCCCCCATGACTTTGTAAAGGAAAGTGAATTTTACGTTTTAAGGAGAGGGAAAAAGCCCTCCCCTCGGTCGACATTCAAGTGCTTGAGAGCGATCGCTTGCCTTAAAAAACAATGACTGATATTTACCTGTAGAAAGAGAGCAAGGTATGCCTGTGCGATCTCAAAGTTTTTATTGGTTGTAAAGGAGTGATTGATAAATTTAACAAACTGCACCATGACATCAACACTTCCACCTCCATCTGGTACCAGAGATCGTATCTCTACATCTATAGCAGACGGGCCTAATCCTTTAAATTTATTCATTACTTTCTCATCTAAAAATAGGAAAGATATTATCAATAGAGAGAGGGAGAGAGAGAAAGAGAGAGAGATGGGGTTTAACATAACATAAGGTTTAATTTTATTTCAATAATTCGCTTGTGTGTAGGGGACTTTAGCAGTGGGAGGAAACCGGAGGAACCGGAGAAAACCCATGAGATTCGACAGATGACCCTGATCCTTGTCACGTACAAGCGGGGAATTGAAATGAAATAAAATGAAATGGGGTTTAACGTCCTACTGTTCTGCTCCTATACTGGGCTAATGAAGACGGGCATACGCCATACAGTGTGCGATGAGGGAAATTTTGCCCGGGCAGCGGCACTATCACCTACTCTTATATCGAATTCCAACTGCCAAGGGATCTTTTACGTGCATTCCAATGTATACACGGGAACTCGGTTTTTCGTCTCATCCGAAGGACTAGACAGCTGTCCTTGTCAGGCCCTCCGTCCTGTATCACTGACAAGGGGGGAACCACGTCGGAAAATCCAGATGAACTTTCTCGGCCAATGCAGGGATCGAACACCCGACCTCCAGGCTAGTGAGCCAGCGTCTTAACCACCTAGCCACCATGCCAGTTGACTCAATGACAGACCTTAAAATACAGCATGCAACGCTAACCATTCGGCCATCGGCCATGGACATGAAATAAAATGAAAATGAAATGGGGTTTGATGTCCTACTGTTCTGCTCGATCCACGCTAGTGAAGACGGGTATAGCCATACAGTATACTATGAGGGAAATTTTGCCTAATCAGTAGCATTACGGCCTACCCTTATTACGACATTACTACTGGGCCACAACATTATTATTGGGCCACAAACAATTAAATACAGAAAAAGTGTAAAATAGACTTTAAGATATATTATGGGAGATTAGACAAAGAGCTGGCCATTCTTGCTTTAATAGTTAGAAACTAGATAATGTAAAGGGATTATGCTGAAATTTCAGTCAAATTGCTTCACTCTAAGCCGAGAAAACCTTATTTTAAAATCGCTATAGCCTCGATTGTCAATGTTACCCCTGCCAAAATAATTAACAAAATCTTGATTATCCATTTTTGCGGTTAATCACCAATGAACGTTGAACAGCAGATCGGATTCAAATCCAATGAATATCAGACACACATAAGAAGATGGCATTGTGAGTTGATTATGTTTTTTTCATGTCAAGAAATGTCTAATTAAAAATTTAGATAACATTTCAGGCCTAAAGAAAGACCTGCAATAGACAGATTTAGCTCTTGTATAATTTATGTTTAATAGGCCACAAACAATTAAGTATACAGAAAGTATAAAATGGACTTACAATCAGAATCTGTTTTACAGTTCAATAAACCCGAACCAATATCTGATAATGGTAGAAGACGACCTTCCAGAACATGTGATTCATTCTATAACATAAAAATTATAAATCATTATACAAATGTGTTACCAGGCAACAAAATATAAACCCACCCTACTAAATAGCCACAATGTAACAATAGTTTGGTAATTTTTAGACAAATACATGGTAATTTTTAGACAAATACATGGTAATTTTTATTTTAGTTTCTCAAAAGGTGTTGACTAATAAACAGACTAATTAATTACTCAACACTGCTCCAGAAACTAAACAGTTATAAACCCAACACTCATTATTTAATCTAGACAGACCATTTTAAAACCATAGTTTACGATGATTCTTAACTGATTCGAACAGTTTTCGAACACTGGGTTGGAAACTAAACATTAAATACAGAAACTCCTGCTAAAACAGCACAATTACATGAAATCATAAAAACGATACCTTTTTGTCTTCTTCCTCTTTTTTTAAATCGAACGTAGGAGTTATACCAGCTATAGTATTCAAGAAAAATGGAGCTGCTTTTCCTTTCTTCGGAGGTTCTTTCGGTTTGTTGCGAGCCTGAAATATTTTCAATAGACTTGGAATATCAAATTAACACAATAAATAACTTAACATTTAGAGCTTATAATAAGATGAAAATAATTGGTATTATTGGTTGTTGCCAGGACAACAACACCAGAAAGAAATATTTAAATTAAAAAGTTATTATTATTATTATTTACTGCAACCGAGAATTGAAACCACGCCAGCAGACTCAATGACAGACCTTATGATACAACCATTCAGCCATCCAACCCTGCTAGAGTTCAATGGAGTTTAATCTGATATTTGTTGTTTATCTCTTACAAAGTCTCTGTAGTTTGTCATGTCCACAGGTTTGTCTTATCGGTTTTGTTTTGTGTGTGGAGTGGTCCTCCTGCACTTACTATTTGAGACAGATATATGGAAATTTCTGTTTCCATGGTGACATGTGAAATGTAAGGTGAGTGAATATTGCTGTGGGTTCTTTTATGTACCTGTGTGTGGAGTGGTCCTCCTGCACTTACTATTTGAGACAGATATATGGAAATTTCTGTTTCCATGGTGACATGTGAAATGTAAGGTGAGTGAATATTGCTGTGGGTTCTTTTATGTACCTGTGTGGGTCTCAGGTTTTTGATACCGTTCTAAATGATTAGGCCAACTTTCCTTGTTAGCCCAGCCGGTCCCATCCCTCACAAGTGAAGTCTGGGCTTAGAAAGTCATAATTTTTAATTTGCCAGGATTTGAAACAAGTGCCGGATTAACATAGTGGGGGGGGGGGGGGCACGGGACATACCAATTGTGCGGGGGCCCCATTGTTGTTTGTTCAAATTGTTCGTACTGACCAAGGATCGTACTAGTATGTAATCCGCCCCCTTGAGTGCCTTGGGTGTTTTCTTCCAGGAATTTTTTTTTATAATTAGGATTAATTTCAGTGCATCTGAGACAATTTAGGCAGGGATTTCCTGAGCCCCGGAAAATCTGTTGGTACCTATCAGTTCCGGGGTACCCAAAATCCCTTACTGCCCAGGGCCCCAATCCTCGCCTCCTTCACCCCAGGTACTGGTTGGCTCCATCCGGGTTAAATATTAGTATGACCCAGAATTGTGGGGGGCCCCTATATGTGGGGGGCCCGGGACATTTGTCCCACTTTGTCCCCCCCTAGATCCGGTACTGTTTGAACCTAGGACTACTACATCCCCCGGTACAATTAGGCAAGCTTTCTTGATCCCAGAGAAGATAAAAAGCAAAAGAATACACAGAAAACATAAAACAGAGAATAATGGTGAAAGGGGGAGAGAAATGGGGTTTAATGTCCACTCAACACAAACTAGGTCATTTCGAGACTAACCTATGGTTCAATTTTATTTCAAAACTTACTTGCACATAGGGGTCTTTAGCACTAGGAAAAAACTGGAGGAACTAGAGAAAACCCACAAAGTTGGACGTTTGACCCTACTCTTTGTCATGTACAAGCAGGGGATTTAAAGCACGCTACTTGACTCAGATCACATGATCTAACATGCATGCAATAAACCATTCAACACCCAGAGAAATAATTAATAAAAACATGTGAATCGTACCTTGATAATATCTAAAGAGAGTAAATTTTGCCATCGTGAGTTTGGTAATAGAGATAAGGTAACCAATTCATTTGATATTTGTTCCGGCGTTTTATAAAAATTCAACTCTTCTTCTTCTTCATCGTCTGAACTCTCTTCTTTTACTATAATAAATAAATTTTAATCCAGGATTTGAAATAACTCTGATAAATTAAGGGGGGTTGGATGGCTGAATGGTTAGCGTGCGCGCGCTGTATCATAAAGTCTGTCATTGAGTCGACTGGCGTGGTTTCGAATCCCCGGTTGTACGTGGCAAGGAGTAGGGTCGCCTGTCCAACCTCGTGGGTTTTCTCCGGGTCCTCCGGTTTCCTCCCACTGCTAAAGACCCCTACGCGCAAGCGAATTATGTAAATAAAATTAAACCATATGTTAGTCCCGAAATGACCTAGTTTGTGTCGAGTGGACGTTAAACCCCATTTCTCTCTCTCTCTCTCTCTCTCTGATAAATTATTAGATCAATTATTATCAATTAAAAAGAGTTTAATGTCCACTCAAAACAAATTAGTATATGGAACTAATTAAACATAATGGTTCATTTTTGTTTAATTAATTCGCTAATGTGTGTGTGGAAGTCTACTTTCAATTTTATTTTTAATCTAGGATTTGATAGAATTATTATTAAATTAATATTTAGGTTAAAAAAAGAGAAATTAAAAAGGGTTTAATGTCCACTCAAAACAAATTCGGCTATTATGGGACTAACATATGGTCTATTTTTATTTAAATAATTTGCTAATGTGTTACGAAGTCTACTTTCAATTTTATCTTTATGAAAACACAAGGGTCAGGGGCAGTAACTCTAGATGTTATTATGAATTAACATAGATTTCTGTTTCACTAACCTGAACAACACAAATAAATGGGTGAGTATAACTTACAAACTCGGTCATTTCGGGACTAACATATACTTCTATTTTATTTTTAATAAATGCCTTGCGTGTAGGGGTCTTTAGCAGTGGGAAGAAACTGGAAGACTCAGAGAAAACGTACAAGGATGGACAGAAAACCTTACTCCTTGTCAACCTACATGCTGGGAATCAAAACCCTGCCACTTGACTCAATCACAGACCTTATGATCTAAGGTGAAAATATAAGCGAGAGAGAGAGAGAGAGAGAGAGAGAGTTAAATGGGGTTAACATCCACTCAACACAAACCTGGTCATTTTGGGTTTAACATATGGTTCAATTTTATTTCATTTATTTTCTTGTGCGTAGGTGAGGAAACCGGAGGACCCGGAGAAAACCAACTAGGTTTGACAGGCGACCCTACTCCTTGTCACGTACCACCGGGGAATTAAAAGCAATAGACCACTTGGCCACCCAGCACCCCATAAAGCAATATTGTAAAATTTTCCTCACCATCTTTTTCTATGTTAGTTCCAGGCATCACCATTATTTTAGGTTCATACGTCTGTTCTAGAGGGCGTAGTGATACGAAGGAATATAAGGTCATATTGGACCAGAGATAAACACCAACATTATCAACGTGTGTTGTCACGAGAAAATCTCCCGTTGGTGACATACTTAACGACGTCACAGCTGAATCTATCAGGAAACAATCAACTAATCTAAAAATAAATACAATCATATTAGTAGAAGTTATTTTTAGCTACAAGAACACCACTTATATCTACGATCACGCTAAAACGGCAGTGTGAAGTTGAATCGTCTTCACCTATAACGAATGGACCACCTTGTTATTTACGAATAACGAGGGATATGCCACCTTGTTATCGGCAATATCGATATTTTCTGTTGACCCTACAGAAAGGTATAGCTATTTGACTGAACTTTATGTTATGGTCATTTTGGTTTAAGGCTGGGATAATTTGATATTTTTCTGAAAAATGTAAATGAGGCTTTCATGCTTTAATAATGACTTACTTTCCTGTTGGTAGATCCCACGTTCTAACTGTAGCATCCATGGCTGCCGTAATCAACCATCTAGCATCAGGACTAAATGTCTGAAATATTTATAAATTTAATAAATTATCATAGATCAATTTAACGCCTCGTCGCTACAAATCTTCCTTCTGAGACTAACATATGGTTATGTTGACATGTGCAATGCTAGGAGATGAATTTTGTCAGTACAAAGATTATTTTAACTTGCTTTGATAGCAAACTGTCTGAATATGTTGCTTTCTAGCTAAAACGATGTTGTGAATAATTAGAGATTACTAATAGGAATAAAGATTAAAGGAGCTAAATCGCTAATATTTGGAACCTAGAAATTGACACAAATGGGTCGCAACGCATACAATAATGTAATATGAATGTATATAAATTGATTTGCATTCAATCGTTTCTGTTTTTACTGTAATTTCTAATCAGTTAGGTTCGGCGACATACGCCAGTATTCTCAATCGAATTTCAATCTCTAGCTTCTGGTTATTCCAGTCTACGCCGATAGTATTTATTGGGCATACTCTCCAGATAAGAATATAGCGTCACCATTTGAGATGACTTGTGGAATATGCCTAGCCGCATTTTTCGAGTCCCTTATTACACATTGCGCTGAAACGCATTATGGTACACGATTCCTGTACCAATTGTAAAATGTTTATTTTGTCTTAAATATTGAATATCAGAAGGCCATCTTTTCCCGGTAAGATCACAACATCAGTGTTGATTTAAACCGACAAATAAATCGTGTTTTCAATGTCGAAGATTTTGGATGATATTGAGTTAGAGACTTGGCTAACTTAATACATGAAATGAAATGGGTTTTAACATCCTACTGTTCTGCTCCGACTGGGCTAATGAAGACAAAAGATTATATAAGACTATATAAGGTCTTTTGTTTCCCCGTGGTCACATGTGCAATGATAGACAAGAGAATTCTTCCTGAACAGTGGCACATTCTATTCGAGAAGTCAGTGCTATTATCAACATGGATTCACTAAGATAATTACCAATTCTTGTATTACATAACCAGCCTAATAATGCTGTAGAGGAATAAACTGAGGTTTTTTGTTAGATGAACAGACTGAGATTTTATGTTATAGATAGAGGATTTATGTTAGATGAATGTTAAAGGAATAGACTGAGAGGTTTTATGTTAAAGGAATAGACTGAGGTTTTATGTTAAAGGAATAGACTGAGGTTCTATGTTATAGACTGAGGTTTTATGTTAGATGAACAGACTGAGGTTTTATGTTACAGACAGAGGTTTTATGTTAGATGAATACAGAGATTTTATGTTATAGACAGAGGTTTTTTGTTAGAGGAATAGACTGAGATTTTATGTTAAAGGAATAGACTGAGAGGTTTTATGTTAAAGGAATAGGCTGAGGTTTTTTGTTAGAGGAATAGGCTGAGATTTTATGTTAGAGGAATTGGTCGAGTTTTATGTTAAAGGAATAGACTGAGGTTTTATGTTAAAGGAATAGACTGAGGTTTTATGTTAGAGGAATAGACTGAGTTTTATGTTAAAGGAATAGACTGAGGTTTTATGTTAGAGGAATAGACTGAGTTTTATGTTAAAGGAATAGACTGAGGTTTTATGTTAAAGGAATAGACTGAGTTTTATGCTTAGTGGAATCTTGGGGGTTAGAAATGGATATTTATTATTTTACCATATCTGTGATTCTATTATCATGTCCTTCAAATCTTCGGACTTCTCTTCTAGTATCAATATCTACTATAGACACCGTAAAATCATCTAATGCTACTGCTGCCATTGAACTAAAAATACAAATAATATAATAATATAGAAACAATATTACTACAGACATGGTAATATTATCTAATGCTACTGCTGCCATTGAACTAAAAATACAAATAATATAATAATATAGAAACAATATCTACTATAGACACCGTAAAATCGTCTAATGCTACTGCTGTCATTGAACTAAAAATACAAATAATATAATAGAACTTGTTAAATAAATAACTCAGTTTGTGAGTGATAGTAGTCACAGCAGGCCATTTGATTAGGGTTGTCATGGTTATTTTTGGCATATATCTGGATCTAAATACAACATTGAAATTCATACGCTACTCCACTCCACTCCAATCAACAACAAAAAAAAAATCAAATTTACATGTATGAAATTTTTATACTGTTATTTAGAGGGCTCACCTCCTACCTTTGGATAAGACACCGGTGACTTGGTAATGTTTCTACAAGGTTTCCTATAGTCAGATGTATTGTCAGGATAAACTGTTTATTACTCGATAAACTGTTTATTACTGGGCAACATTTTGACTAGGGAGAGAGAGCGAGAAATGGGGTTTAATGTCCACTCGACACAAACTAGGTCATTTCGGGACTAACATATGGTTTAATCATATTTCAATAATTTGCTTGTGCGTAGGGGTCTTTAGCAGTGGGAGGAAACTGGAGGACCCAGAGAAAACCCACGAGGTTGGACAGGCGACCCTACTCCTTGCCACGTACAACCGGGGATTCGAAACCACGCCAGTCGACTCAATGACAGACTTTATGATACAGCGTGTGCACGCTAACCATTCAGCCATCCAACCCCCCATTTTGACTAGGACTCTCTAGTTTTTATCAAATACACAGGACATGATTCTATAGAAAATATGAACTCTTGTATCTTACCTCTCTCTATGTAATAACACATGTGATATATCAGAAGCAAGTTGAATAGATTCTATTAATTCAGGTTTATGAAATTTCCAGAATTTAACTGTACCATCTTGTCCTGCTGTTATTGTGATTTGATTTAAACCATCAACAACTACACCTCGTATACAACAATCATGGGCTGAAATATAAATTAATTACTTCTTAAAGTCAACATTTGTTAAAATTAAATGAGAGAGAGGGAGAAATGGGGTTTAACATCCACTTGACACAAACTAAGTCATTTCGGGACTAACATATGGTTTAATTTTATTGCAATAATTCGGTTGCGCATAGGGGTCTTTAGCAGTGGGAGGGAACCGGAGGACCTGGAGAAAACCTACGAGGTTGGATAGGCGACCCTACTCCTGGTCACGTACAACCGGGGAAACGAAATCATGCTAGTTTACTCAGTGACAGACCTTGTGATACAGCGCACACTTGCTAACCATTCAGCCATCCAACCCCTCTAAAATGAAACAACATTGGGTTTAAAGCCATGCGGTGTGGTATAAGGAACATTTTTTACGATCAGGCAGTGGTGCTACAGTCTGCTCTTTGTCAAATTCCAACCACCATAGGCGATTTTAACTTAAACACCAATGACATCATTATATGTACTGCATGTATGTAACCAGCATGGGTTTACCTGTATTGTACGTGTAGTGTTTACCTATATTGTACGTGTAGGGTTTACCTGTATTGTTGTATGTGCTGAGTTTACTTGTATTGTTGTATGTCTTGAGTTTACCTGTATTGTATGTGTAGGGTTTACCTAGTATTGTATGTGTAGGGTTTACTTGTACGTGTAGGGTTTACCTGTATTGTTGAGTTTACCGGTACAGTTTACCTGTATTGTATTATACGTTTTACCTATGACTGAAACAAGAACCTTGGTATTTTAAGACATAATTAAAGTTTTTTACCTGTTGGTTTACCATATGATCCTCTATGTAAACCTGACTGTAAATTATATTTATCTACATGACCAGAACTATAACCAATTAATACAAAATTACCACAAGATGTAATATTTACAGCCTGTAATATAAATACAACAATTATATATCACATACAATTACCACAACATGTGATATTCACAGCCTGTAATATAAATACAATCACAAATCAAAGTCAAACAATTATGATATTTATCACTACAACTCAGGTATCATGTTGTGTTGTTTTAGCAGAGTTTCTGCATTTAATGTTTAGTTGGAAAATGGTTCAAATTCGTTGACAATCATAGAAAACTAAAATGGTTTGCTTTACTACGCGGAAGTAACCCTTTTCCCCTCAGGTACATCAAAATATTGTTAAATACGACAGAGCTTATTACTGCAATGTGTCTTTTTTTGTATGGTTCAAGTGTGCACAGGTAGACCTCAAAGTTTTGTACCATAAGAACTATCATGTCTCCCCTCCCCCCACCTGGACTACCCCCCTCGACTTTCCCATGGCCCCCCCCCCCCCAAACGAAGAATATCATGCCTTAACCCCTTTTCCATCCCTAGTAACGAAAATAGATAGTAGTTAAATAAAATGATTCCATACTGTTGCAGTTGTGTTTTTATATTTGGGATCAGTTTCAAATCTTTCATGATTAAATTTATATTTGCCCATTGAAGACTTGTTGTAGTTCCAGGTTGTTGTTAATGATAATCCTCGATGACATGATACAATATTATCCCAATCACTTTCTCTACTGCATTCTATTGAATAAATAAACAAACATAGTATTTACATGAGAGAGAGAGAGAGAGAGAGAGAGTTTAACATAGACTCAAAACAAATTAGGTCATTTCAGGACAGACTTACAATTCAATTTTATTTCAATAATTCACTTGCGCATAGGGTTCTTTAACAGTGGGAGGAAACCAGAGAACCCGGAGAAAATTCATGAGGTTGGGTAGAAATGGGTAGGTCATTTCGGGACTAACATATGGTTCACTTTTATTTCAATTATTTGCTTGCGCGTAGGGGTCGTTAGAAGTGGGAGGAAATCAGAGGACCTGGAGAAAACCAACAAGGTTGGACAGGTGCCCCTACTCCTTGTCATGTACAACCAGGGAATCGAAACCACACCAGTTGACTAAATGACAGACCTTATGACACATGCTAACCATTCGGCCATCCCCCCACATCCCCACTAGTGAATATAAAATATTACCTGAAGTAAATTGTGTTATTGGTGGCATCATATGTAAATCTTTCTTCAGCCCCGAATGTTTACTCGCTGCCTTATCAAAAGAGGCCCGACCTAGATTCTTGTTATGTTTATCATGTAGAGTAGAAAATGAACGTAACGTACTGTCCTGACCTACAAGTCAAAATACAAAATTACTTTCATACAGACAAGCAATAAATCATTTATACAACAATTTCAACCATTGACCACTGAATTTATCAGCTTTTTTACCAATACATTATATGGTATTGTATATCCACATGTACTCGAAATAAATGAAATGAAATGGGATTTTAAAGTCCTCCTTTTCTTGTGCGTTGGGGTCTTTAGCAATGGGAGGAAACCAGAGGACAGAGAAAACCCAGGAAGTTGGAAAGGCGACCCTACTCCTTGTCACGTACAACTGGTGAATCGAAATTACTGTTTAACCCAATGTACAGGCCAATATGGAACCTCGTTTTTTTGCACCATTCGAACAACTATACATTGTCCCTCGCCACAAACTCTGTCCTGCACTACTGACAACTACTGCATGTCTTGGCCAACACAGGGATCGAACATGGTGAGCCAACATCTTATTCACTTAGCCACTAGTGAGAATTAGTAAGTACTGAAACTCACTAACAGAATAAAAATGTCTGTGTATAAAAACAAATGTTTGACCAATCTGATTAAAATATGGGGCCCTGTTTCTCAAAATCTTAACTAAAGTTAAAATCCAAATTTTATTAGATACTTAGTTACAATTTCGTGAAACAGGCCCCAGATCGATATTTCGTTTTTTTTTTTTTTTTATACTTTCGATGCCCTACACTACATGAAGATCTGACCAGTTGTAGTGGAAGGTCTCATCAGGTGTCATATGAACGGCTTTTGGTCATATGATGTCAGACATTGATTAATCAGCGATGACGATTCTAGTGGTGTGCCCACAGTTCTGTGCACTCGCCGTAACAAACTGTTTTATTGGCTAATCCCTCACACCAATCAGAACGCAGGTTATATATGAACTCTTCCAGATCCTAGTGTAGTACAGACAAATAAAACGAAATCTTTAACTATAAAAAACGAAACGAAATAGGATTTGTGTTTTAATCAGATTGATGTTTGACGTACCTGCACTTAAAATATTATGACCGTTTGTATCGTAATGTGACACTTTATTTGGTGGTGCACTGTGACCTTCTCTCAGACGCAGTAAACGACCAGATCCATCGGGCATATCAAATATCCACACCTGTTGAAATATTTATAACATTATTGTAAAATATAAGTAGAAAAAAATGAATGAAGTGTGGTTTAATGTCCTACTTTTCCGTTTCCGACATGGTTTTCCCTTGTCAGTGGTGCAGGACAGAAAGTTTGACAAGGATAGCTGTCTAGTCATTTGGATGGGACAAAAAAAATAAGGTCCCGTGTACACAGTGGCATGTACGTAAAAGAAACCTCGCGAGTAGGACGTAGAGAAGGGCGTAGTGCCACTGTCCGGGAGAAATTTCCCTCATAGCAGACTGTATGGTGTATGCCCGTGTCCATTAACCCATTCAGTGCAGAACAGTAGGACATAAAACTTCAATTCATGTTCTGCACTGAATGGGTTAATGAAGATGGACATGCAGTGTGGTATGAGGGGAATTTTGTCTAGACAGTGGCATTCTCACCCACACTTCATCAAATTCCAACTGCCAAGGGATCTTTCATGTGCAGTCCAACCTGTATGCAGGACCTCATTTTTTTGTCCCATCCAAAGGAGTAGAAGCCGTTCTTTGCTAGGCCTTCTGTCCTGCACCAGTGATAGGGGTTAACCAGACTGGAAACATCTGAGAAACTTTCTCGGCCATCTGACATGGATCTAAATATCTTCTCTTTCAGATAAACCTGTATGCAGGACCTCATTTTTTTGTCCCATCCAAAGGAGTAGAAGCCGTTCTTTGCTAGGCCTTCTGTCCTGCACCAGTGATAGGGGTTAACCAGACTGGAAACATCTGAGAAACTTTCTCGGCCATCTGACACGGATCTAAATATCTTCTCTTTCAGATAAAAAGTGAAATGCTACTTATAATTACACTATGTCAGTGGTTCTCAACCAGTGTGCCGCGCCGCGAGATCTTCCTAAGTGTGCCGCGAAATTTTGAATGGCACACTAAGAAAATTTCTCACTAAAGAAGCCAGCTATTTGACTGGTGAAATTCGAAACACTGTAATAAAGTACGTTCATAGCTGTGTATTTCTTTATTTAGTTTGAGTCATTCTATGTGTCTATGACTAGTCTGTGTACGCCGCCTATGACTTGCCATGTTTTTATTTTGCAAAATTCAAATATTTTTCATATATTTTAAGCCAGGTGTGCCGCTATTTTTTCATGTGTTCCATGGCTGTGCCTTTGGCAAAAAAAGGTTGAGAACCATTGCACTATGAAATGACTTTAACAATTAAATCAATATTCATAATGTAGTATGGCTGACTTGTAAGATTTAAAACAATTAAATATATAAAGCATACTACAACTGACTTTAAGTGGAAGTGACATCCTACACATCATTACACTATGAACCAGCGGCTGCCAGGCAGGATACGCCCACATTTTGCAAGAGATGGATAGAGAACATGAAAATGTGGGCGTATAAAAATGTTTTTTTTTGTCTTAAATATTAGATATCCTGGTAAGATCACAACATCAATGTTGATTTAAATTGACAAATAAATTGTGTTTTCAATGTCGAAGACTTAGCTACTTTAAAACAATTACTGTAGTACGACTTACTTTAAGAGTATTGTCTGCAGCTGAAGTGACCATTAGCGGTTCTGATTGAAGACATTTCATCCCTGTTACAGCAGTTGTATGACAATCTCTCATCTGACACTGTAACTTCCTTTCTTCTAGATTCCATAAAGCAATATGACCAGCAGAGCTACCAGTTACCATAATAGGATGGCCATCTATATCATAAAATATTACATAAACCCTTTAACCCCTGGTACATGATAGGATAAAGCAATATGACCAGCAGAACTACAAGTTACCATGATAGGGTGGCCATCTATATCATAAAATATACTATTCAAAAAAAGTAGGGGATATTTGATTTTGGGGGCATAATACTAAAATATGCAAATGACTACGAAAAAAGTCACTATAGAACCTAACAGAAGAAACATTTCCAGTTACATGTGACGCCCAAACGCACCAATAGCTACCGCATGGAATGCAGGTGATGCTTGGGATCATCATGGGGGTCCAACCCAAGATTTGCACGACTCTGACTTTGAATGTTACAGTCATTGTGGCATTGAATTCCAGGGTGGAAACATCAGTTTAATTGTTTTAGTGACCAGAAAACAAATTTTGATATGCGTCGGCTTACCCAAAATGAAAGGTTACGTGCCCTTGGCATGCTACAGATCGGCACAACACAGGCGGTTGTGGCGCGGACGATGAATGTTTCTCAGTCTGTCATAAGCAGGCTATGGTCCAGATACCGTGATACACAATCTGTACAGGACAGACCACGCTCAGGTCGACCAAGGGCGACAACTCAAGCCCAGGATCGATTTATCCGTACCTCGGCCTTGAGAAATCGTGTCATCACAGCAAATCAGATCAGCGCTCAACTTCAAACAGACACTGGTGTGAGAGTGAGTGGCCAGACGATTCGGAATCGACTGCATAGGGGTCACCTTTGCGCCCGACGTCCTCGCGTGATCCCATGTTTGAGAGATCATCACATTCAGGCAAGACGTCGTTGGTGTAGGGATCGTCAACACTTGGATAATCGACGCTGGAGCAATGTGATGTTTTCAGATGAGTCAAGGTTCACTGTTGATTTTTTGGACAGACGTAGGAGAGTGTGGCGTCGTCGAAACGAGCGCTTCCAAGACGTTAACGTCATCAGACATGATCGATTTGGGGGTGGTTCTGTTATGGTGTGGGGAGGCATCACTGTTGCTGGAAGAACGGCTTTACATGTTGTTGCAGGGCGTGTTACAGGCCAGTACTACCGGGACAACATCTTGGCAGTCCATGTTGTGCCGTTCGCACGACGTCATGGCCGCCGTTTCATCTTCCAGGATGACAACGCAAGATGTCACAGGTCCAGGATCGTTACAGGTTACCTCCAACAACAGAACATCACCACATTACCTTGGCCAGCACTGAGTCCCGACCTCTCCCCCATCGAGCATGTCTGGGACATGCTTGGACAGAGGTTACGTCAACGTCAACAACGTCCTGCCAATGTCCAAGAACTTGCTGCTGCGTTGCAACAGGAATGGGACAATATGGACCAAAATGACCTTAGACGTCTCATTAGGAGTATGCCACGTCGGTTCAATGCTTGTTTGGCAAACAGAGGAGGATTTACCCGTTACTGACTTGGTTGTGATGCTGTGGTAACTTTGCTGTTTGACCCCGGGTATCATTTTACCCTTATAATGGTCAGTCTGTGCCTTACTTAGTCTAACGATCATTTGGAATAAATCGATGAATGTGAACTTCATTTCATTTTGTCATTTGTTTCTTCGTCAGTTTCATTAGGTGACTTTAATAACACTTAAAAATCAAATATCCCCTACTTTTTTTGAATAGTATATTACATTAACCCTTTAAACCCTAGTACATGTTAAGATGGCCATCTATATCACAAAATATCACATTAATCCTTTAACCCCTGCTACATATGCATGGAAGAATACATGAAAGAATGACCATCTGTATAATAAAATATACAGAAAACATTAAACCTTTAACCTCAGGTACATATACATTATAGGATAACCATCTATATTATAAACTATACCATAATTCCACGCAACATTAACCCTTTAGGGAGAAAGAGGGGAATAGGTTTGACCATCTTCAATAGAAGGCCTGATCTCGCTTTAATTACGTACATCATGTAATACCCTGCATATTTCGGCACTAATTTCGGTTGGGTACAAGCCCAACTTGTGAGCCTATCAGATTCCTCGGTCGTCACGAATACTAAGTCTCACGCTTTCGAGTTAAAATGTCTACCTGTGATAATGGAGTTGCAAAGTTCAAGGTTCGTTCAATGTCAAGGTTTCCGTGGAGGTCGCGATGTCACAATCTCTGATTGGGCGCTACTGCTCATGTGTCTGTAGATAACATAGCTATAACTTCACGAATTGTGAAGTAATCTAGCAACGTCCAGATGTTGTAAAACTTGCAGTCGTTGTTTTAGTGACATGAGGTTTGGAATTAACTCAACGGATTAGGTCATTTTGGGACTAAGATATAGTCAAATTGATGGCGCGTAAGGGTCCTTAGCAGTGGGACTTGACTTGACTCAATGACAGATCTTATGACCTAAAGCCTGTGCAGTCCAAATCTTATAAAAGGACTGACTGTCCACTATCAGCAATTAGCAGAAATATTCAAAGGATTCTGTAGAAGGCAATTGCAAGGTTTCAGAAGCAATACAGGTGATTTACTGTCAAAACAAACCCTACCTGTTCTAAATGAAATAGATTTAAACCTCACCTGTTCTAAATGAAATAGATTTAAACCTCACCTGTTCTAAATGAAATAAATCTCACCTGTTCTAAATGAAATAGATGTAACTGGACCCCAATCTTGTCGAAACTTCACCACTGTCTTATCATATTTAATATTATGAACAATAATCTGTCCATCTTCTAGACCAATAGCTATCACATCTACAGCAGGAGCCTACAAAAACATATCCAATCTGATTAAAACACAGATCCTATTTCATTTCGCTTTTTATAGTTCAAAATTTCATTTTACTGAGAGAGAGAGAGAGAGAGAGAAATGGGGTTTAACGTCCACTCGACACAAACTAAGTCATTTCGGGACTAACATATGGTTTAATTTTATTTCAATAATTCGCTTACGCGTAGGGGTCTTTAGCAGTGGGAGGAAACCGGAGGACCCGGAGAAAACCCACGAGGTTGGACAGGCAACCCTACTCTTTGTCACGTACAACCGGGTATTCGAAACCACGCCAGTCAACTCAATGACAGACTTTATGATACAGCGCGCGCACGCTAACCATTCAGCCATCCAACCCCCCTATTCCATGCACAGAGCCCCAAAATACTTTCCCCTATCATTTGGACTCAAATCAGCCAATTTGACGCGACGCAATAATAGAATTTTCACAGAAAATTTGAAACTCACTGTCTGCTGTACATGACACTTTCCGGGAAAATTTAGGACATTTTTCAAAGATGGTGACAAAACGGAAGTTATCTACTCGCACCAAAACAGAAGTTATCTACTCGAACATACAAACAAAAGCTTGAAATGTGCCTTTGAATCAACAATTATCCGGCTCTAGCAGTTTATTTCTAATCGAGCTAAGACCGAATTTCGGTCTTCAGCTAACTTGGATCATCGCTGTACTCGGATAAAATTGATCATTCCACTTAGATATGACTTATGCAAAGTTTACTGTATAGTCTGAAGGTGTGTAATCAAGGGAGAGTGATCTTACATAGGCTAAGTCTGTTCCCCATTCAGTCAACCCGAATAAAAGTATTGTTTATAAATAAAAAAAAAACCAAACTTACTAACCTGTTCTAAGACTAAGACTGACTGACCCCAACCAGGAAATGTATATAATAATTTATCATGTTTTATATTCCACAGTTGTAAAACACCTTGACGACTACCTAGTAGAATCTTATTTAGATAGGTTGACGGATGAACCATAGCAGATATAGCAAAGTGATTCGGATCAAATTCCATCTCAAGATAAATTTCTGAAAAGATAAATAAACAATTGTTACATATTTGGAGTCGCGGTGGCTCAGTGAGTAAGAGAGAGAGCGAGAGAGGCACACACACACACAAACTAGGTCATTTCGGAACTAACATATGGTTCAATTTTATTTCAATAATTCGCTTGCGCGTAGGGGTCTTTAGCAGTGGGAGGAAACCAGGAAAAACCCAGGCGATTGGACAGGCTTGTCATGTACAACCCGGGAATCGAAACTACGCCAGTTGACTCAATGACAGACCTTATGATACAGCGTGCACGTGCTAACAATTCAGACATCCAACCCCCCCGCAGTGAATAATAAGTTGGCTGGCTAACTTGGAGGTCCTGTGTTCGATTCCAGTGGTAGCTGAGAAAGTTCATATGGATTTTCCAAAGTGGTTACCCCTTGCAGTCAGATGTGCAGGACCAAGGGCCTGGCAAGGAATGACATATAGTCGTTAGGGTGGGACGAAAAACCAAGGTCCCATGTCCACATTGGCGTGTACGTGAATATTCCCATGGCAATTGGAATTCAATATAAGAGTAGACTGTAGCGCCGTTGTCCGAGTAAGATTTCACCCATATCACACTGTATGCCTGGTTTATTAGCCCAGTTGGAGCAAAACAGTAGGATGCTAAATCCTATTTAATTTCATTTCTGCTACATAGTACATGTACACATCAAGTTATGGAAGCAATTTTTACTAATAAAAATTAACTTCTTTTTTCATACAAGTTATTAGTTTCAAATTGCACAAAAGTTGAGTCATGGAAGCTGGGTGACGGAATGGTTAATGTGTGTAAGTTGGATCATAAATAAGGTCTGTCATTGAGTCAAGTGACAAAGTTTCGATTCCCCACTTGTATGTGACCAGGAGTAGGGTCGCATGTCCAACTCTGGGGATTTTCTCCAGGTCCTCTGGTTTCCTCCCACAGCTGAAGACCGATACGTGTAAGCGAATTAATGAAATAAAATCAAACCCTATGTTTGTATCAAAATGACCTAGTTTGTGTTGAGTGGATGATATACCATCTCTCTCTCTCCCTCCCTTTCTCTCTCTTGAAATGACCTAGTTTGTGTCAAGTGGACTTAAACCCCATCTCTCTCTCTCTCTCCCCCTCCCTCCCTCTCTCTCTCTCAGTGTGTAATATATAAGTATATAAAGCGAGGTATACCTTCTGTTTTATAATCCCATACTGTTATATTACTCTCAGAATCAACCGATAGAAGATGATTTCCAAACGGTAATAACAAACAAATCTCATTTTCATTGTGCTTTAAAGTTTTTACTGCCTGCAATTATAAAATCATATCAAAATAACAGTTCAAATTATTGTTTCAATGGCATTATGTAATTGAACTGGAATATACAGGTCACAATTCTATGGAATACAAAGGTCAGTGATGTACGGACTTTGTTATCCAGCCCAAATGTAAATTACATTTATACTGATGATTATCAGGCAGTATTTTAACCAATTTGTTATTTTTACAGTTAACCCCTGTTCACTACAATATTTAAAAGCAACATATAATTATCATTTTTATTTAAATAGTAAATTTACTACATGTATATGTAAGCAAAAAGTTTAAAGTCTTGAAGTAAGCATAGCAGCATTACTAGCTGGACACTCACTGAGGGTAATAATGTCAGTGATGGATTTATTGTATTGCATATTTACCTTAGTGCCTCTATGAAATGCCCTGATAATGTTTCTACATCCTGTGAAGACCAGATTACCAGAAACTGCTATACATGTTATATCATCAGGATGGGAATCACCTGGGGAGGGAAAAAAACATATCATTGTTAACTTGACTTGACAGGTCTAGAAATTCGTCATTTTTTGCGAGAATCTAAAAGAGTAATCTCATAATGCAATCTGCACGAATCCTTCAAATCTTAATTAAAATACTGTCTAAATAACAAAATTGTGTTTATTGTTTATTGCCAGGCCAAAATAAACTGATACGGCACCACAGCATTTCTTCATAACACAATTTGTAGCGTTTTGTCCATCATGTAACTTGCAAATTTTTTTATTTATTCGTCGATGATAGACAAATGGCACAATGACCACATGACAACCATAACTGAAATTGCTATAAAATAAAATTCTGCACGACTATGATAATGCCCTCATAAATATTTTAAAAATTAAGCCTCTGTTAATAAGCATTTGTATAAAATAAAAAATCATAACGGTAACGCTATTTAGATCTGGTTTATTGACCTAATTGCAATCGGCATTGGAGATTCTGTCAGGAAAATACCCACTGTTTCTCTCTCCGTGTATTCAGTGTTCTATCAGGGGATTATATTCAATGAAGATTTAAATTTACCTTACAACTGTTCAGAGAATCCATCAATGTATGATCCAGTTACTATTTTAATATCTACCGATACCTAGAAGACGTGCGATTCGCAAACCATGCCGAGATCGTCTTCATTAGCTACATGCCTTTTGTTTTTTTACCAGATTATTAAAATCACTGTAAAATGTGCTAATTACTCAGATAATGAACCACATGGCCAATTTTCACTAAGGTATGACTGTTGTTGTAGCCGACAAGCAAGTTGATTGACTTCTTAATTAACAAGTAATAATTAACCCGTTGTAATTTAGCCTAGAGTAGATTGATTATTTATGATACCATAGTGGCCGATTCATTGTTTTACCAATCGGCTTGAATAAACATCAATCGACTAAAGCTGACAAAATACAGCCCCATGATGAACACTGACCCTGACTGACATTCAATAGTGGCCGATTCTTTGTTTTACCAATTGGCTAAAGCCAACAAAATACAGCCGATTATGAACACTGACCGTGACTGACATTCAATAGTCAGACTCGACAATTCTCCAAGATTTTTTTTGGGGAGGGGGGGCGTTAACTCTTGCGAGAATCCTTGTGCGAAATAGAGAGAGAGAGAGAGAGAGAGAGAGAGAGAGAGAGATGGGGTTAAACATCCACTAGACACAAACTAGGTCATTTTGGGACTAACACATGGTTCAATTGTTTTTATTTCAATAATTCGCTTGTGCGTAGAGGTCTTCAGGAATGAGGGGAAATCTAAGGTGGAGTTCCTCTAACCATCAAATGACAATCAGAATATAATATCATAAATAGAAACTTACTGACAGATATTATTCCTAGTTTGGAACTCTGAAAAAAAAAAAAATACATATCATCAAGTATGGCATAAATATTTTAATTCTTCTTGTTGGCCTATATCTTGTTTGGATCATTTCAACTACTTTTTTTTTTGTTACTATACAAATAATGTGAGAGCAATATTAATGGTCTGCCTGCCAACATTCCGTACTTTTCAAGGCCAACCCCAAAATATCTAGAAGCAAACTTCATCATGCGCGAAAACAAGCAGGATACGGCCTTGCTAGGCTGGTTCTGTGGTGTATAATCCTGTTTATTGCAAACAGCTGGGTAAGCTAAAATTCTGATTCATATGTCATTTTTTGTAAGTTGGCCTTTGATAAGCTCAAATGAATGATATTGTGGTCTCAATGTAAAAAGTATACGACTGGCGTAGAAAAAAAAAAGATGAGGGCAATGGGGTTTAACTTCCACTCGACACAATCTAGGCCATTTCAGGACTAACATGGTTCAATTTTATTTCAATAATTCGCTAGGGCAAAGGGAGTACCTGGAGAAAACCCACGAGGCCGGACAGGTGATCCTGATCCTTGTCATGTTCAAGTGGGGAATCAAAACCGCGCCACTTGACTCAATGACAGACGATCAAACGCGCGCGAGAAACCATTCGCCACTCAGAGCCCTGCGTAGAAAAAACAGGAATGTTAGCCACAGATATATGGCAAACAAAGGCAACAGAATGAAGTCTAGGTGGTCTGTAAAATAAAATATTTATTAAAAACTAACATTGTACGTGTGAAAAGCTTTCCCAACGCAGGTAATCACATGATTTTCTTTTTCTTTGAATTTCAGTCGAACTTCCAGTGGAACATGGTTGCTGATGTAGCCTAATGCCCTAAAGCCGCAAAATATCTTACTGGCAGCAGACATATTTTGTTTTATTATGACACAGATGTCATAGAAATAGAATACTAAACAATTAACTGTTCGGGTGTGATTTCAATTTCACACGTGCTTTATAAACCGGAAGTAAACATTACCGTAAATGAAAATCTCAATTTACGACATTCATATTTTCCGATTGTAAAATTGTTTAGAAATCAAACTCTATGAATTGCTTTTGAGCTTGACAATTACAACAAAACACTGACACCTTCTCTTTATTTGGTTATAAAAATGAGATAACCTCCTTTTAAACCTCATTTTAAATGTCGTTATATCTAAAGACTCATTTATGATATAACCGGAAGTACTAAATGTAAACAAATATCAAATATGGCAGCTTGCATAAAATTTTTCTTGTTGTGCAATATTATTTCTATGTATTGTACCTGATGAGGATTTTCTGAAATGGATTTTTGCAGTTTCATTTCCTGTCAGAATTCTGAAATAACGAATCAACAAGATTATTGTGAAATTAAAACAGTATTTCCCAACAAGAAACAAGCTGTTCATTTAAAATCAAAGTTTGTTGTGAAATGGAAAAGGAATGGCGAGGCTAAATTACATGTGCAGTGTTGGGACCAGATAATAAAAGCCTCTAGAAAAAGGTCAAAAGCTAAAAATAAAACCGACTTACAAATTGTTGAAGAAGAAAAATTTTTGATAAAGGAGGCAGCGAAGACAGTTGAATATTTTGACTCCAAGGAAAAGATCAGAACAGTGGCATCACATGTTGCTGATTTGATTAAAAAATCAAAGCATTTTGTTTGCTTTACAGGTACATGTAGATGAACTTACTATACAGCCCGCTGCCCTGCGACCTATCAAACTCCATACTAGTTCAGCTCTGAACGTAGGTCTCATTACACTCGCCCTGTACGTTCAGGAACCGTCCTATTGAATCCTTGGCGAAAAAATTTCACTTCCCAGTAAATTTTACAGGGCAACTTTTTACTGCAAAACAGTCGCGTGTCAGTCCCTGTGAACGCCTGAACAATGTAAATGAACATCTTAGTGAGAAAATAAGACCTTGCTTACTTCGCTAGAACTAGTATGAGTGACACAACACGCTGTTAAAAAATATATCCCCATCTTCTAAACCACTTTACCGATGCCATTGATAGGGTAACGCACAAATTTACAGACTCGGCCATATAAGATGAAACGAAATTTAGGTAAGTCTGGTGGAAAAAATTGAAATCTTTGAAAAGTTGAGAATCTTCAGTCATTTATTGCTTTGCCTATTCCAATTATAATAATTTACAAACGTCATACAAATAACAATAATGTACATTTGTAGAGTGTCAAATCCATCCAAAAGCATGCTCAAAGCGCAATAAGACAATAGTTGTATACACAGTGAACATTAAGTCTAATTCTCATAGCATTCTTGATTTAAGTGAGTCTTCAGCTCTGATTTGAAAGTAGTCAAAGTTTTTCGGGACTCAGTAAGCAAACCACTGGCTAAGCAGGAAGTCCGAGGTTTCTGTGACCGTTGCCTTATGTGATGCTTTACAATATAAACTGCAATTAAATGAATAAATCATTTTCTTCTTTTTTTATATTTTTTGTAATTTATTTCAGGAGCTGGTATATCTACTTCAGCTGGTATCGGTGATTATCGAGGTAAAAGTGGAAAATGGACGCAACAAGATCAATCACATATAACAGACACTGTTGATTCACCAACAACATCAAATTCTGAGGATTCACCTACAAAAAAATTAAAATTTTCAGGTATTTTGGTTAAGTTGCTTTACATTGCTCATTTAACCATAGAAAGATAGCTGAGTATTGTTTCAACAAAAATTAAACCCAATTCTATTCCTTTACTTTGGAATTTTGATTATTGAGTTAATTTTGAATCAGATATCATGTAAATTTAATTACTTTTTTTTAAAATTTGAAACATCTCCTTTGATTAATCAAGTTTTGGGAGAGAGAAATGGGGTTTAACATCCACTCACAGAAACTAGTTCATTTCGGGACTAACATATGGTTCAATTTTATTTTATTAATTCACTTGCGCATAGGGGTCTTTATCAGTGGGAGGAAACTGGAGGACCCAGAGAAAACCCACGAGGTTGGACAGGCGACCCTACTCTTTGTCACGTACAACCAGGGAATTAAAACAGACCTTATGATGCAACGTGCATGCGTTTACCATTCAGCCAGCCAACCCCCATCAAGATTTTGGAAAGCTGATATACAGTGGTACTGTAAATATAATATACTTGATTGACCTAAAACATACATATTTATATTATCAGGTGGTTGTGTGACCAAATAGTTTAATTTGTGCACTTTAGATCATAAGGTCTGTCACTGAGCCAAGTGGTTTTGATTCCCAGCTTGTACATGACAAGGAAATGAAATGAAATGGGGTTTAATGTCCTACTATTCAACATGACAAGGAGTAGGGTGGCCTGCCTAACCATCTGGGTTTTCTCTGGGTCTTCCAGTTACCTCCCACTGCTAAAGACCCCTACAGAGACGTGTACACAAATTATTGAAATAAAATTGAATTATATGTTAGTCCCGAAATGACGTAGTTTATGTCGAGTGGAGTTAAACCCTCTCTCTCTCTCTCTCTATCTCTCTCTCTGACTGACCTTAAAAATTACCTATTTATTTATATTATCAATATCAGATGATGAAGTTGAAGATGGTAATGATGATGATGATGATGATGATGATGATGATGATGATGATGATGATGGAGTGAACTATGAGGATCTGAGACCAACCTATACACACGAAGCACTTCATAAACTTATGGAAGAGGATCACCTGAAATATGTTATAAGTCAAAACGGAGATGGCCTCCATACCTTATCACAAATTCCACCAGATAAAATTTCAGAATTACATGGAAATGTTTTTGTAGAAAAGTGTGAGAAATGTTCAGAAAGGTATGAACGACAATACTATGTCATGGACGATGAATGCAGTCAATATTTTGAAGATTTAGAAGATTTTAAAAGAACAGATATTAAAAAACCAGGACATGCTAAGAAATGTAGTTTATGTGGGCTCTGTCACAGGACAGGAAGAAAATGTGAAAAAAAGGTTCGACATTTTTTTATACCTATATATGGACGTCTTTATCAGAAATATTTGAGGGTCAATCAGTGTTTTTTTGGTGTTTTTTTTATTTTCAGGCGACTGAAATCTGTGGTTCAAAATCAATTACACTAAATAATATCATGATAAATTCACAATATACAACAATATTTCCAGATGAGAGAGAGAGAAATGGGGTTTAACATCCACTCGACACAAACTAGGTCATTTGGGGACTAACATATGGTTCAATTTTATTTCAATAATTCGCTTGATTGTAGGGGTCTTTAGCAGTGGGAGGAAGCCTTAGAACCGAGAGAAAAGCCATGAGGCTGGAAGGCAACCCTACTCCACTCCTTGTCACGTACAATCAAGAAATCAAAACCACGCCAGTTGACTCAATGATGGACCGTCCAACCTGAGATCTTAAACTTTTATTGATTTACTCAGTTCAATTTATTCAAATTTTTTACACTCACTAGATATTTTCATGGACGTAATGACTATCTCTTTATTTTTAGGAATGTAATGACTATCTGGTTATTTTCAGGAATGTAATGAATCTGTTTATTTTTAGGGATGTAATGACTATCTGTTTGTTTTCAGGGATGTAATGGCTATCTAGTTATTTTCAGGGATGTAATGACTAGGTATCTGGTTATTTTCAGGGATGTAATGACTGGTTATTTTCAGGGATGTAATGACCATCTGGTTATTTTCAGGGATGTAATGACTATCAGGTTATTTTCAGGGATGTAATGACTATCTGGTTATTTTCAGGGATGTAATGACTATCAGGTTATTTTCAGGGATGTAATGACTATCTGGTTATTTTCAGAGATGTAATGACTATCTGGTTATTTTCAAGGATGTAATGACTATCTGGTTATTTTCAGGGATGTAATGGCTATCTCATTGACACTATCATAAATTTCAAGGATAATCTAGAAGACATTATATATGACAGAGCTGTTGATAATGCCCAGAAAAGTGATCTGATGTTGTGTCTTGGAACAACTCTTCTGGTTACACCAGCTAATGAACTGGTTGAAATGACGAAAGACCCCCAGACTATTGTTATATGCAACAGGTAAATTGTTTCAATGGTATTTAGTAATTGAACTGGAATATACAGGGCACAATTCTATGGAATACAATTACTGCTTATTACTGAGCATTCCCCGGTCGTACGTGACAAGGAGTAGGGTCACCTGTCCAACCTAGTGGGTTTCTCTGGGTCCTTTGCTTTCCTCCCACTGCTAAAGACACCTACGCACAGGCGAATTATTGAAATAAAATTGAACCATATGTTAGTCCCGAAATGACCTGGACGTTAAACCCTATTTCTCTCTCTCTCTCTCTTATTACTGAGCGACATTTCCACTAGGATACAAGGTACAGTACAAGTCTTTATCAAATACAGAGGACAAGACACAAGTCTGAAGAATATAATTACTGTATTTAACTGAGCAACATTTCAACTGGTATTGTCTAGTGTTTGTCTTTGGTTTTGTCTGCTTGTGTCGTCAGATGGTAGTGTCTGCTGGGGCTGTCAGGGGTAGTTTCTACTGGGGCTACCAGGGTTAGTGTCTGCTGGGGTTGTAGGGGTAGTGTCTACTGAGGATATCAGTAGTGTCTGCTGGGGCTATCAGGGGTAGTCTCTGCTTGGGCTAGCAGGGGTAGTGTCTACTGGGGCTATCAGTAGTGTCTGCTGGGGCTATCAGGGGTAGTGTCTGCTGGGCTATCAGGGGTAGTCTCTGCTTGGGCTAGCAGGCTTAGTGTCTACTGAGGATATCAGTAGTGTCTGCTTGGGCTATCAGGGATAGTGTCTGGTAGGGCTATCCGGGGTAGTGTCTGCTGGGGTTGTCAGGGGTAGTTCTGCTGGGGTATTCAGGGGTAGTGTCTACTGGGGCTATTAGGGGTAGTCTCTGCTGGGTGACTGAATAGTAAGTATGTGCATGCTGTATCATAAGGACTGTCATTGAGTCAACTGACGTGGTTTCGATTCCCCAGTTGTACGTGACAAGGAATAGGATCATCTGTCCAACCTTCTTTTTCCTCCCACTGCTAAAGACCCCTACGCACAAGCGAATTATTGAAATAAAATTGAACCATATGTTAACCCCGAAATGACATAGTTTGTGTCAAGTGGACATTAAATCCCAACTCTCTCTTTTGTAGACAAAAGACACCTTTAGATTATTTATATAAGAAAGATGGTTGTCAAGGTTTCAGAGTTTACGGTGACTGTGACGTCTTTATGAAGGAAATCATGACCAGTATTTTATCTACAGATGAAAGATTAAGATGGGAGTCGAGACGAACAGAAAGACTTTTATATTATGATAAACTCAGGGGAAAAAAATAGTTTAGCTTAATGTTATCAAGTTTTAATTAAAATATACAGATATTTATTAACAGCTTTATAGCCAATAGTATGATATATATTTTTATCCGCCCACATTTTCATGTGGACGTATATTGTCGTCGCCCCTGTCCGGCCGGCCGGCCACAATTTGTTTGTGGACACTCTGCAGGTCACAATTTTTATCAGATTCGGCGAAAAATATATGGTATATCAAGGTTGTGGACCCTATAGAATTCACAATGTTGATCCGATTTTGATGAAACTTGAAATATATCTGTATAACTCAAAGATCTTGGTTCCTGTTGGTATTCAAGCATATCGGATACTAACTTCCTGAATTATATGTCCCTTGCAAAATGTAGGCGTATCCTGCCTGGCAGCTGCTGGTTTTATTAAAGGTACATTATGTAAGAACTAAATTGGTCTATTGCAGGTTTTTATTTTAGCTTCAAATGTTATATAAACTATTGTTTAGACATTTATTCACATGACCATTCTATAATCAACTCTCTAGATCATTGGATGGCAGAGATTTAAACAGATTGAAATATGATTGCCATTTAATGATTTGATTAAAAAATGGAGAAGTGGGGCTGAGTCTCGATTGACAAGTAACGTTGCTAAGATAATTAAACAATATATACCACATCTTGTCAAAACTTCAAACAGTGATAACTTCACTCAGAATAAAGTAATTTGAATGAAATTTTCAATATATTAATTTTGAATTATCTATTTTGGAACTATTATAGTGAGACCGGCCAATCTTTATCAAAATCCTACATAATGCATCTATAATAAATAATTTGACAGCTATATAATCAGTAGTGTGATATTTTTTATAGGCTGTGATATTTATTTTTTATATATTTTTTCGTGATATTATGCAGCAGATATCTTAATATCTTATTATTGTTATTTTCATTTCATTTCTTAGTTGGTTGCTCTATTTACATCAAATATTATTATGCATCAAATGCTTTAAAATTTTGGGTTTTCTCCGGTTTCCTCCCACTGCTAAAGACCCCCATAAGCAAGCGATTTATTGAAATAAAATTGAAGCATATGTTACTTCCGAAATGACATAGTTTGTGTCAAATGCAAGTGATTTATTGAAATAAAATTGACCCATATGTTAAATCCAAAATGACCTAGTTTGTGTCAAATGGAATTTATAAGGTCTAGAATATATCAGGGTATTTTGTTAAAATATATATCCCTTATTTATTATTATTATATTTTTATATTAATTTGTAACACTTTGTGAAATATACGGGTAAAATAAAGTTATATCATTCTAATGTACATGTAATATATTAACTCATATTGGTGTATTTTCTAAAGTTATATCATAATATATTAAATCATATTTGGTTGTATTTTCTATCATGAATGGTATGTATATTCAGTTAATAAATGATAACTTCATATCTGATTTTGGCTTCACCTCAGGTTTAAGCAGATCCTGTCCATCACTAAAAAACATAGGAGTTATGTTTGATTTAATTAAACAGGCATACGTCATGTTAGACTGGATAACCTGCTCTAAATGACGTCAGGCTGGTTCCTAGTCACTGTGCTATTCGGACTTCATATGCAAGTCAGAAAAGGAGTGACGTAGGAGCGAGTCTGACGTATTAGAGCAGGTTATCCAGTCTAATTCCATGGTGTTTGTCCCATCCGACAATCTGATTAAAACATAGATCCTATTACATTTCGTTTTTTATAGTTTAAAATTTCGTTTTACTTGTCTTTACTACACAAGGATCTGGAAGAGTTGTTATATAACCTGTGTTCTGGTTGATGTGGGGGATTACGGAAAGTTTTGGGCGTGAGATGCACGGAACTCTGGTTAGCCCACTAAAAACATCAATGCTGATTGGTTAGTCAAATGTCTGACATCATAGGGTCAAAAGCCACTCGTGTGACCTCTGACGCAACCTTCCACTACAACCAGTTAGGTCTTCATGTAGTAGAGGCCATCGAAAGTATAACAAAATGACAAAATGAAACGAAATATAGATCTGTATTTTAATCAGATTCCCCATCCGAAGGACTAAACTTTGCCATGACACCTGGCCGCTACTTTTTACAAATGTTCTTTAGTTATCTGGCAAATTCTTAACTCAAGATCAGAATTATATAAGACATTCACCCGCACAATGGTGGGTAATACCTAATCGAGTAATATATAACACCTTGATTATTCATTTCTTTGCGGTGAGGGGATCACGTGGCTAAGTGGGTAAGATGCTAGCTCGCTAGCCTGGAGGTCGGGTGTTCGATCCCTGCATTGGCCGAGAAAGTTCATCCAGATTTTCCGGCGTGGTTCTCCCTGGTCAGTGATGCAGGACGGAGGGGCTGACAAGGAAAGCTGTCTAGTCGTTCGGATGGGACAAAAAACCGAGGTCCCGTGTACCAATTGGCGTGCACGTAAAAGATCCCTTGGCAGTTGGAATTCGATATAAGAGTAGGCCGCAGTGCCGCTGTCCGGGCAAAATTTCCCTCATAGCACACTGTATGGCATTAAACTCCATTTCATTTCTTTGCGGTGAGCCTCGGTGGTTCAGTGAGTGTGGCTAACCTGTAATTGATTCCAGTGTTGGCCAAGAAAGTTCAGCAGGATTTTCTGTTGTGGTTCCTCTTTGTCTGTGGTGCAGGGCGGAAGGGCCTGACAAAGGACAATGTATAGTCGTATGGATGGGACATTGGCGTGCACATGGACATATGGACATTCGATATAATAGTAGGCGTTAGCGCTGCTGTCTGGGGAAAACATCCCTCATAGCACACTGTATTGCATATGCCTGTCTTCATTTGCCCAGTTTAGGAGCAGAACAGTAGGACGTTAAACCCCATTTTATTTCATTTCTTTACTTTGTGGAACAAGTCGGAATCCGGGAAAATTCAATTTCAATAACGGGATCATTCTGCACACAGAGAACTACATACTTTGAGAATATATCTCTGTCCTGAATGGCCTCCATATTGAAAAATTAGTGTACTACAATTTAATAGTATGGGATAGAATCTTGTACCTCCTCATTAGTGAGCCAGCGCCATGCCCACTGAGTTATTAATTACCCGATTAACAATTGAAATAACCAACTAAAAAATAAGAACCCGGCTGGTCGGCAGTGTGTTAAAGATACATTATGGGAGAATAGATAAAGAGCTGACAGTTCTCGTCATAATAGTTAAAAACTAGATAATGTAAAGGTAATTTGTTGAAAATTTCAGTCAAATTGGTCCACTATGAACCGAGATATCAGCTTTGTAAATTTCCGCCTAGCCTCGTTCATCATTACTAAAGTTAGTACGTTAAAAAGCATAGTCTCGATTATCCATTATTTTGATTTAATTATCAATGAGCGTTTGACATCGAGAGTTGATTATGGTCTGTTAATTAATGTCTAATTAATAATTTAGATAAGATTTCAGGCCTAAAGAAAGACCTGCGATAGGCAGATTTAGCTCTTGCATAATGCATGTTTAACTCACGTGCACGGGTCTTAAAATGGTATAAAGTGGAATAAAGTCTTCCAAGGCCGTGGGATAAAAAAAACAACAAGCGAATTAAAGATGCGCTATTCCCTAGCCATGCCGCGCACTCTGCTACAGCACGCGACCGGCATCTACTGTACTCAAATAGAAATGTCCAAATTATGAACAAGTACCACCAACCGTACAACGCAGCCACTTTGAGATCGGGACGTCATATCACAAATAGAAAGTCCGTCAATCGATGCGCAGTGATCCATGGAACAAGCATCCCAAGTGTCAAGTCGATCGTACACATGAATTGGCGGAGTCTAGGGGTTTTTCATTCGAAAAGCGTCAGTTCCCCTAAGAAGAACAACAAGGAGTTGGATAGCGTTTTGGGACCAGCCCCGGTTTCACAAAGTATTCTCAGAATTAAGTTGGGAATTTGCTCAAAATTGTTCGTCTCATTTCAACTAAATTATAGCCCTTTATCAAACTTTTGTTTTTTTTATTGTATCAAATACATCAATAAGAAACTATGTACAAAATTTGTGTTTCTGGATCAAAGATATTTCTCATAAACAGTGAGAATGCTTTGTGAAACCGAGGCCAGTTCCTGGGGCCTGTTTCACGAAATTTTAACGAAGATAAAATCCAAATTTTAGTAATTTTATTGGATAATATAAGATTGATTTTAGTGCTTAACCAATCAAAATTGAAGTATCTACTAAAATTTGGATTTTATCTTTAGTTAAGATTTCGTGAAACAGGGCCCTGTTGTAAAAGTGTATACACCAGTAAGGTAATCTTTAAGTGGTATTTAGTGATTGGGAAACAGAACACAATTTTAATGGAAACAATCACCGGTTTATTCTAAAAGCACGACGTTTCGACAAGTATCCTCTTTTATTTTATGATCAGTAGTGGAATACCGCGTTTTATCAGTGAAATAAAAGTGTTATTTCACTGGCTAGCAGTAGTCCATGTTGTTTTTACCTAAAATGATTGTAAAATCATAAAATAAATAGAACATTTGTCGTTTTGTCGTGAATAACATATTTTATTTCATCTCTAAGCAAGAAAACGTTTATATTTTCACTCATGCAACGCATTCGTGAAAATATAAGTTTTCTTGCTTCTCGATGAAATAAAATATGTTATTCACTCTAAAACGACAAATATCCTCTATATCGTTGTCATTGTGCTTGATAACGATAAGAGGATACTTGTCGAAACGTCGTGCTTTTAGAATAAAACCAGTGATTGTTTCCCATAAAAATTGTGTTCGGTTACCAGTAAGGTAGCAGGGCCCTTATTCATGAAAATTTAAACTAAGATACAATCTAAATTTTAAGAAATATTGCAATTCGATTGGCTGACCAGTAAAATCAATTTGCATATATCCAATGAAGTTGCAGTATTTCGGTTGTAACTTAGTTTAAGTTGTTGTGAATAAGGGCCCAGGATTAATAATTAAATTAATATTATAAGCAACACAGAACCTTTAATATTATGTTTTACTTTTATAAGATGAACGTAATGCTACGCCCTTACGATTTGCACCATTAGCCATGAAATATTTTTGGGGTAAAAAAATGTACATATCAAATTTTTTACGTCCTACATCACTGTTAATTGATGTGAGTGAATTATTTTTCGTTGAATTATTTGCAATTAATTCCCTTTCATCTTTATCCAGATTTGCCTTTTTAATTTGATCTTTGATTTGGTTATATCTATCAATATAAAATTGCTTAAATGCAACATTTGGATTCGTTGAGGAATTAGGTATGGTTCTTGCTTTTACGGACTTTTGTGACTCCACCATGTACGGGGATAAATCTTGGAGACTGTTGGATTTTGAAGAACTGTGCTGTTGTTTGATTTCAAGGTTAGTTAAATAATTTGACATATTATTTGCTCGTGGAGACTGCGGTGACCTGGTGTCCATGACACTGGTTAATGCTGAATCATGTGGTTTTGCGTTGCTAGGATACAAACTATTGGTTTTTGCAGACGGCGATGCCTCAATGTGTTTGGACAGCTCATGGAAACTGGTTGTCGTTGATGGATCCTGTTCTTGTTTGATTTGAAGACCTCCGTCAAGGATAGGGTTATCAACCTTTAACGGTTCTGGAAGTATCCAGGGCTGTGTGTTGCCTGGATAAAAACCATGAAATGCTAGAATTTCTTCATAAGAATGGATGGGTAATTCCTTCTGCTTGCTAGAATCAATGGACAAACCGCCGGGGGTTCCTTCATCTGACACTTCCCTCCTATGAGATCGTAACTGAGATGGAACAACGGGTTGACTGTGATCACTAAAGAAAACAGGTGCTGCTGTAGCGTCTATGGTTCTTTCAACTTCACGGAATGTCTCCGGTGACTCTTCCCATTGCCTCTCTAACAGCTGCCGCGCTGATGGCCCTGCTCGCAACACATCATGTTCTGCACCAGATTCTGATAAATTGCTATTGCGTCCGTCGAGCGGTTCCTGTGAAGTATCCATAGACGAACTGTGCTCCGAGGTACCAACTCGTTTATCGTTATTGTACGCTGAACATGTCGCATTGCTACACGTGTTGGACAACCTAGCCTTTTCCTTTGCTACAGCCTCTCTGAAAAGTAGTGGCTTACCAAAACCACAATTTTCTCGTTGATTTGTATTTAACACTTTTGTGGAAGAAGCCGTATCATTCATCATGGCTACACTTGAAGATGTTTCCGAGGAAAAGCATTTCGGTGAATATAGCTGCACTGAATTATTTGGCATGTGAACGTTCCTGGAATATGTATATATAGGATTACACTGTTGTGATGGGACTGATTCTGGTAGAGGCGGGAGTTCTGATACTGGAATTGATTGAACGGTTCCAAAACCGGAACGTAACACATCGTATGTTTTGGACTTTAAACCTATTGTACCATCATCCCGAGACATTGGTATTCTTCTGTCTTTGGTGAGGTACTTGTTTCGCGGAAGATTAACGTCTGATTTATGGATTTCTTGTTTTATCAGCTGTACAGGAATCCAAAATCTTGATGGTTGAAGATCTGTTTTGGGATATTTTGCTGTGAAAATACAATAAAAATAAATAGTCACTTCAGCAAAATAACTACAGCCATGATAAAGTAAAGTAAACTACATAATAATCAGTTTTTACAAGAAGTTCCTCGTTCGATTTGTTTTGTATTTGGTGCAGTATCCAACGACAAAATTGAGGGGGTTGGATGGCCGAATGGTTAGCACGTGCGCGCTGTATCATAAGGTCTGTCATTGAAGCAACTGGCGTGGTTTCGATTCCAAGGTTGTACGTGACAAGGATTAGGTTCGCCTGTCCAACCTGGTGGATTTCCTCCGGGTCCTCCGGTTTCGCCCCCTCTGCTAAAGCGAATATTGAAATAAAATTGAACCATGTGTTAGTCCCGAAATGACCTAGTTTGTGTCGGGTGGACGTTAAACCCCACCTCTCTCTCTCTCTCTCTCTTCTCTCCTCTCCTCTATACTGGCTCATACCTCCAGGAAAACTCTATTTTCCTGGCAAATTCTTAACTCAAAAACTATATTAGAACTCACCCATGCAAGGTCAGATAACTATGTTAATAATGTATAATAACCCCAAATACATTGTGAACACATCCCTCTGCTATTTCCCTCGTTGTGGAATAATGTAGCCTACGTAACAATAAGTAAGACAGGCCTGGGTATTGCTAACGTCACAATAACAGAAACCCGCCATCGTTGCTTCCATTATGACGTAATTTTAATTGTAGGTTAAAAAATATCAAGAAAATACATAGCATGCATTGTGACGTCAATCGTTTGTATACCTTGTGGAATTTCGACATTTTTGTCTCCATTTAAAATATACTCCATGGAAACGCGACTTTTTAACAAAGCTGCCTTTTCACCATAGGTTAATCTTGTTCTTCGACTTCCATTAGAAAAATAGTAGGACTTCATTTTGATTCCTTGTATGAAGAAGGATTAAAAAAAAAACATCATAATATATATATTTCGATCGATTTGTTATTATACGTAAATCTATTTATCTTGACTGATTTAAATTGCGATAAGAAAATAAATTTCCAAAATCAACAACCTTTGTTTTTTTTCCAGGTAAAATTAGGCTAGTTGGAAGCGGACGTTAAACTCAAGTACACTTGTAGGCCTACTGTGTCTTTCCCTTAAAGGTCGCCTGTCCAACCTCGTGGGTTTTCTCCGGGTCCTCCGGTTTCTTCCCACTGCTAAAGACCCCTACGCGCCAGCGAATTATTGAAATAATTTTTTTTTTTTTAAAAAAAACCCACATATTAATCCCAAAATGACCTAGTTTGTGTCGAGTGTACGTTAAACCCCATTTCTCTCCCTCTCTCATTCCCTTAAAAAGTATAAATTTTGATGAAGATGTAGAAGAATATAGAAACCTTCACTATTTTTCTATTTGATAAGGACGCGTTATTATTTGAGAACTTTTTCGGTTTAAATTATAAATGTAAAACAGAAGAATGACTTCGCGCGGCTTTTAATGTATTTTCCATAAATAAATAAAGATCTTACCTTACGACGACTCCGCCCGTTCTCGTCCACCTCTTATATAAACATTGTGACGTTTCTCTTCTGTTCTTTGCGGGTTGGATGGTCGAATGGTTAGCGCGTGCGCGTTGTATCATACGGTCTGTCATTGAGTCAACTGACATGGTTGTACGTGACAACATAGAACTGTATTAATGGTAAATACATTGGGTCGTAGGACTATATCATTTCGGGACTAATACATGGTTCAATTTTATTTCAATAATTCGCTTGCGTGTAAGGGTCTTCAGCAGTGGGAGGAAACCGGAGGACCCGGAGAAAACCCACGAGGTTGGACAGGCGACCTTTCTCCTTGTCACGTACAACCGGGGAATCGAAACCCCGCCAGTTGATTCAATGACAGACCTTATGATGCAGCGCGCACGTGCTAATCATTCGGCCAGCCAACCCCCAATAAGTTAAAGAGGGATGCCAATTGGATATTGGAACTCAAAATAATATACTAATTTGATCGGGGTTTCTTTTTATTTCCAGCTGGAGGGGGAGGGGGTAGGGGTTGTAGGGTAGAATCGGATTTTCGAAATTTTTAGATGACAGCCGGTGATAATACAAACCATCCTTAACAACTGGTTCCAGTTAGGTCCGAGCATTTTGACAATCAGGCACAATTACGTAAAAAACGATGTATCGTGTTCACATCTGCGTGCACGTAAAAGAACCCCTGACAGTTGAAATTCTAAAAGAGTATAGGTCGTAGCCTCGCAGTCGGGGCAAAATTATCCTCATGGCACACTGCATGGCGCATGTCTTGAATATTGGATATCAGAAGCCCATTTTTTCACGGTAAGACATCGATGATACTGAGCTGAGTAAGTTTTCCATATAATATTTTCCATATATCACACTGCATGGCGCATGTCCATCTTCGATGGCCTGTTTCATGTAATTTCTTTACGACCAATAAAACGAAACGATGTATAAATAATATTATGTAAAGACAACCTACCAACAAAGTGAAATGAAATGGGGTTTAACGTCCTACTGTTCTGCTCCTATACTTGGCTAATGCAGACGGGCAGACGCCATACAGTGTGCTATGAAGGAAATTTTGCCCGGGCAGCGGCGCTACGGCCTACTCTTATATCGAATTCCAACTGCCAGGGGATAATTTACGTGCATTCCGGTTTTTTCGTCTCATCTGAAGGACTGGACGGCTGTCCTTGTGGAAACCACGTCGGAAAATCTGGATGAACTTTCTCGGCCAATGCAGGGATCGAACACCCGACCTCCAGGCTAGCGAGCCAGCGTCTTAACCACCTAGCCACCGTGGCTGCAATCTTATTATTATGTAAGGACAGTCTTACACACTGCAATCTTTATAAAACACAAGAGAGAGAGAGAGAGAGAGAGAGAGAGACATGGGGTTAAACGTCCACTCGACACAAACCAGGTCATTTCGGGACTAACATATGGTTTTAATTATTTATTTCCATAACTCGCCTGCGCGTAGAGGTCTTTAGTAGTGGAAGGAAAACGGAGGACCTGGAGAAAACCCACGAGGTTGGACAGGCGACCCCACTCCTTGTCGCGTACAACCGGGGATTCGAAACCACGCAAGTTGACTCAAAGACAACATGCACGTACTTACCATTCGGCCATTCAATCCCCCAAACACAAGATGAACTTGTCTTAAAATAACAAATTGAAATGAAATGAAATGGGGTTTAACGTCCTACTGTTATGCTCCTAACCTTTGCTAATGAAGACGGCCATACGCCATACAGTGTTCTATGATGAAATTTTGCCCGGGCAGCGGCGCTACGGCCTACCCTTATATCGAATTCCAACTGCCAAGGGATCTCTTACGTGCATGCCAATGTGTACACGGGACCTCGGTTTTTCGTCCCATCCGAACGACTAGACAGCTGACCTTTTCAGGCCCTCCATTCTGCATCACTGACAACGGGAAACCACCCTGGAAAATCTGAATGAACTTTCTCGGTCAATGCAGGGATCGAACACCCGACCTCCAGGCTAGCGAGCCAGCGTCTAACCCACTTAGCCACGTCACCCCCCTTAAAATAACAAACACTAAATAAAAGCTGTGACTTTCATTTATTATAATAAATATTGTAAAGCAAGAATTCTTAGCCGCATTGAATATTTGCGATTTGCCGATTGTGAATCAACATGAGTCAAGAAATTTAAGCAACTTGACCCAGATGAACGTTTGAAACTTGTCCTCGTTATATCTGATGCACCAAGACATTTGTTCAAACTAGATTTCTGGGACCTGTTTCACGAAATTTTAACTAAAGATAAAATCCAAATTTTAGTAGATACTTCAATTTTGATTGGCTAAGCACTAAAATCAATCTAATATTATCCAATCAAATTACTATAATTTGGCTTTTATCTTAGTTAAAATTTTGGGAAACAGGCCCCAGAGCATTTATTTTTCTTTTTTACAATATCATAATATCAGTGGAAATGGCGTTGATCTTCTAGGCTGTACCGTATACTATTTGTCTGCCGACTTGAAGTACGTTGAAAATCACATCTGTTGTTGTTTTTAAAGGGTCTGGAATGTTTGGTTTGTTTATCTTCGTAGTTTTTATTTACTCTAAAGGCCACTCTGGCTCACTGAAAGAGAAAAATATGGATGTTTAGCATGTCGTAGGCACATACTTGAGGATGGAGTAAGATAATCCTTATTTTACGCGTAATACAGCAAACAAAATTTTGGCCGCACAGTTAGGTTTTTGTCTACTCGTCTTTGAATTCCGACTGCCAAGGGATTTTTTACGCGCACTTCCACCTCTAACAATTGAGAACAGGGCTTGAAAAAAGACCCGATGTTTTGTTCTCTTTCAACGCCCAAATTTGCACCCCGGGAATTCTAGTGTCCTGGGTCCTGTTTCACGAAATTTTAACTAAAGATAAAATCCAAATTTTAGTAGATACTTCAATTTTGATTGGCCAAGCACTACAATCAGTGTAATATTATCCAATGAAATTACTAAAATTTGGATTTTATCTTAGTTAAAATTTCGTGAAACAGGCCCCTGATTTTTACTTTAAGGACTCCGAGATTAGTAACACACAGTAACAGAATTATATTGATGATAAATATTTCAATTCTAAATATATTATTTACACAATTTTACACGACTCTAAATTGAAAAAAAAAACCCCAAAAAACTGGAGCAAATGAGGTCAAAGTTTTTTTCCCCATAGCAAATCTAAAAGATAATTTTAGCATTATTTTTTTTTGTCATTTAAATATAATTACAGTGATCCCATCTCTGAAAATTACACACAGTTTGAAATCTCTGTTATTTATCTTTATTCTCGAACTTTCTGCCGAATTTAGATTTATTTTTGAAATGAGATTTGCATGACAAGGGGTATACTTACTTCTCGACACAAATGGCAACACCACCTGAACCAGAGCAGGTTTGATTCTCTCCACAGACTTCACCGTTGCATTTACATTCACCCCCAGAACAAGTTAGAGGTTCACAACACTTAACATTTTTACACTGGTCTAAAATTTAAAACAAAAACATAAAAGCATTGGCTTAAAGCAAAGCGTCTTACCGATAATATTTCAATGTTGCAGATTTTCCGCCAATGCGCTATGAGGGAAGGGGGGTTGGATGGCTGAATGGTTAGCGTGCGCGCGCTGTATCATAAAGTCTGTCATTGAGTCGACTGGCGTGGTTTCGAATCCCCGGTTGTACGTGACAAGGAGTAGGGTCGCCTGTCCAACCTCGTGGGTTTTCTCCGGGTCCTCCGGTTTCCTCCCACTGCTAAAGACCCCTATGCGCAAGCGAATTATTGAAATAAAATTAAAACCATATGTTAGTCCCGAAATGACCTAGTTTGTGTCGAGTGGACGTTAAACCCCATTTCTCTCTCTCGCTATGAGGAAAATTTTGTCGGGACAGCGGCACTGCCGCCTACACTTGTATATCGAATTCAAACTGACAAGGCCTATATATGCACTTATATCGAATTCAAATTGTCAAGGGTTATTTTATAGGCATGCTAACATAAACACAGCACATGACCTAGGGTTTTCGTCCAATCCGAATGACTATTGAAACCGACGAGCCAGCAGCATGCTAAACATCGACAAACCAACAAACAAACAAATACGTTCAAGTCTAATTCTTTCTCAATTTTATGACTACAGTATTTACATGTATTGATGTACTTTTTCTACTTTCTATTCCTGTCCCAAAGTACAGGAGATAGCAGTCTAATTTTCCAAATTGCAAACATAGCTTTCCCCTTCTCCCCCACGCCTGTCTGCTTTGCGTTTTCATGACCAACGCGCTTTTAGTTAATGAACCAAAATATAAAGTCTTACCACAGCATCTCTCACAAACACCGGCATGCTTTACCCTTTCACAGCTGACGTTTCTCAACGATGGTCTGTTATGTCTATTACGATGACCGCTACGACTCGCTTCAGCAACAATCATAACTACAGCAACCAAGAGAAGAACGGTCAGCAAAAAACGCATGATGATAAATCTTTCAGATCAACGACTATACAGAAATACAGAAAGGAAAGTGATTAATTCAGAGATATCTGTGTCTTTTATACTATTCACGGGTAGACAGCTGCTAATATATTTTACAGAAATAGAAAAGTTACAAGTTTCTGAAATGTTAACATGTTGTTTGACAACTTTTATTAAAATTATCAACGTCATTTATCGATTTTTTTACAAGATAGTTTGAGCTTTTTACAAGATAGTTTGAGCTTGTGGTGGCTTTGCTTTGGGAGTATTTTTCCAGTTGTGTATGTGGAGGTTTGGTGTCGCTATTTGATTCGATAACCAGTCTCAAGTGATCACGTGTTCATGTGAATTGAGTGAAACGACACCAGTTTCGTATCTACATCTACTTAATTTTTTTCTTCTAAACATATTTACATATAATGGCAATAAGTTTAAACGTAACAGAGTGATATTTCTTTTGGTTACTTTTGGAATATTTACAGACAAGTATTGTTCTGGAATTAAATTAAGCTTGAATAAACATTTATATTCTGATAGACTACTGCTCCCGTTTAGTTTCGATGACCATTCCTGTGCGTTAATATCAGTTAATCGTTGTTTTAATAATGTCATAAATATTCGTTTGTCTCCAACATTTTGGTTAAACCATACATAGCCGAATCCCAAAGAACATGTTTTACTTTGGTCGCCCATGTTTCCCTCCCAGCACTATCTAAATTACACAACATTATATATACTTGCTTAGGGTATCTATCTGAGTTCATATTTAATAATTTGATCCAGTATTTAATACAATTTGAAATATAAGATACCGATAAACCATAGCGGCCACATTCTCCCAGTGATCCTACGGTTGTGCTAGATTTGTGTACGCCTAAAATGTATTTACAATATGCACTATGAACTTTCTCAATATCTTCTCTGTATTCGAAGCCCCACACTTGTGACCCATACAACAATACCGGCTTGATAATTACATCAAATATTTTGAAAGCATGATCTAGGGATATACAATCGACACTTTTAAGAAGACATTTTACGGGTATAAGAGCTTTATCAGCTTTGACACTTAAACTATACAAAGGTTTACTCCAACATAATCGCGACGAAAATGATATACCTAAATAATTGTAATAAGAAACAACTTCTAATTTTACATTATTATAATAAAACACTTCGATATTCTTAGTAATACCAGCATTTCGAAAAATTACAATCTTTGTCTTTGAAAGGTTTACATTTAAATTAAAATTAGTACAAAATATATACAAAATATTTAGTTTTCTTTGTAAATCACCAACCGAGTCTGATAATATGCTAAGATCATCTGCATATAATAACAATTATATCGTTTGCTTCTTGCGTAGTGAACAACCCTCTTACATCACTAGCTTCCATCATTTCTACGAGTTGATTGACATAAAAACAAAATAGGAGAGGACTTAATATGCATCCTTGTTTAACGCCTGATAAACAGTCAAAATAGGGGGTTATGTTGGATGCTAATTTTACACTTGATAATACATTGTAGTACGTGCTTTTTAATGCTAAATACATCTTACCATTCACACCTTCTGTTAGCATTAATGCTAATAGTTTCTTTCGATTCAATGAGTCAAAAGCACGAGAAAAGTCTACAAATGAAGAATACATTCTCCCCTTTGATTTTGTGAGATATTTTTGAATAAGACCATGTAAAGTAAAAATATTATCGACAGTAGAGTACCCTTTCCTAAAGCCTGCTTGTGCTTCACAATACTTATTTTCGACACAACACCAATTTTGTAATCTATTATTGAGCACAGCACAGTATATTTTACCGATACAATCAGTCAGAGATATGCTTCTGTAGTTTGATGGGTCATGTTTTGATCCTTTCTTGTGCAGAGGTGTGATTAGGGTCCTTGACCACGAGTTTCGAAATCTGCCTTCGAAATCTGCCTTCATCAAATAGGGTATTATACAAAGTTGTGAGAACTGGGCCTATTAGTTCTACACATGACTTATAGAACCAATTCCTAGCCCGTCTGGACCAGGTGAAGTGCCTGATTTCATATTGTCTATACATTTCTTAATTTCATAATATGTTATAGGTTCATTTAAAATATTACTAGACTCACTAATTGTAATATTAATATCATCTACACTCTGTGAATCAGTTATTGGATTTAGCAGTGTTTCAAAGTAGTTCACCCATTGACTTGGGGTTATTTTGTCAGATACCGAAACCTTTTGACGAAAACCTTTTACAGTCTGCCAAAACTTACTTGGATCATTTAAATTTTGAAGTAACTGATTACAGACATGTCGATGATATTCTGTTTTTTTAAAACTACACAATTCTTTGAATTTATTTTTGCATGTATTAAATAGTTTCAAATCAATAACAGAATTACTAAGTCTAAATTTATCTAATGCGCAGTACTTACTATTCTTGCTATTTACACAGTCGGAGTCAAACCATGGCGGTTGCTCCTCTGTTTTAAAATGATATGACCTTTTCCCGCTGTTCATTGATTTTGCACAAGATTTAATAAAGTTCGTTAAAGGTAGTTTTCTTTCATTTTTAGAGCTAAAGTACACCTTGGTTTACTTACTTCGTCTAATTAGTAAAATAATACGTACCTGGTCAGACATAATCATTGTGTAGCAATAATATTTACAGTAAACTAATAATGACCCCCCCCCCCCCCAATCAGTCAGAAGGTAATTGGTAGTTGGAATATTGCTAGCCGGATGTGGACAGTGTGGTTGACAAAGTATATACTGGATGTGGGCGTGGCCTGCTTCTGTTTTTGTACGCCGTACAATCGCTATGCTTGTTCTAAAAATTGAAAACAAGTATGGCGATTATGTAGGGTGATAATTCTTTTTATTTAATTATTTCTGTAGTTTTGTAACCGGAGTTCAGCTTTAACACTCGAATAAAATTCAGAAACTTCCGGATGTGATGTAATTTGCTATTTGTTGTTTTCACTTAGAACTATTATCTTTTCGGCTTCAAGGTCGTACGTATACACATCTTGATTAACTATTAACTTGTCGAATTTCAAATACGCTCTCACATTTTGATCATTCTTCTTAACTTCATTCAACTTAGGTATGAGCGCTCTTCTGATTTTTCGAACTCGTTCACTGAAATCTTCTCCGAGTCAAATGATTTGAGGTGTAGTCTACAACTTCGTAAAATCGTCTCTCGGTCTTTTAATCTATTTAACACTATTAACATAGGTCTTGGTCTTGTTACGTTTGGCGGTTTTTTTTCCAATTCGGTGAGCTCGTTCAATCCCAATATCTTTGTCACTCTTACAACCTTCAATATTAAATTCCTCAGACAAAATTTTCCTTACCAGTTCTTCTCCATTTTCATTCCTATCGCCTGTTTCTGCTATTCCATAGATAATTATATTTTTCTCTTTGCCTTTATTTTCCAGTGAATCCAGTTTTGAGCCGAAGTTAACAAAATTCGTTTTCATGTCATGCACATCCGATTTTAGTTTAAGAAACTCTTCTTTAATATTCATATCTCGCATTTCTTGTCTCATATCGGCTATATCACTTTTTAATGATTGAAGCACAGCCATTAGGTCTAAATCCTTATCTTTGTCCTGTGGATAAACAATATCTCCGGTCCTTGAGATCTGACCTTGACGGGTAGAAGGGCTTGGATTACTCTCGATATCACCCGATAACAGCAATAGCAGCGTGGAGATTATCAAAAGTGTCATAATCCTATTATTCTGTCGAATAATTCCAACATATGTCTTCAAAGATGCACTTTTGTATCGACAACAGCTAATTTGTATCCTCCAAATAGCAATTTCAGGCCCCATTTCAACAAAAATTGAAAACCTAAAACGGTTACGGATGGGTGAATCTCACTGTGTTAAAAAACTGCGACCGTCCTCTTCGAAGTTTGATAATTTTTATTATCTTTGTCAAATTTTATAAATGCAGCCATAAAGATTAGAAATCATCAAATTATGAATTAAACTGTTTATTGTAAATAAATTAACACCCTTTAAAATGTTCATAATAGTATCTAATTTATTTATTTAATGACCTGTTTGATATATTTGTATACATGTATATATTTATTATTTATATATTTACAACCTTGTAACTTTGGGTCGATGACCTATTTACTGAATAAAACATTATTATTATTATTATTATTATTATTTTTATCTACATCTATTTAGTTTCTGGTGCCCATATAGAAATTAAATGAAATGAAATGGGGTTTAACGTCCTACTGCTCTGCTCCAGCAGTAAATTTTGCCCGGTCATCGGCACTATAACCTTCTCTTATATCGAATTTCAACTGCCAAGGGATCTTTTACGTGCTCGATAATGAATACACGGGGTTGGGTTTTTCTCTCATCCGAATGACTAGACAGCTGTCCTTGTCAGCATTACTGACAAGGGAAAACCATGTTGGAAAATCCAGGGATCGAACACGCGACCTCCAGGTTAGCGAATCAGCGTCTTACCCACTTAGCTGCCGTGGTCCCTGCCTGTATAGAATCTACTCTCTGTTATTTAGATAAACATTCAGTACATTGAAGATTAGGAGGTTCTGGGTGATCGAGACTATATAGAATATATTTTATAAGAGCGCTAATAATTGATTAATCCTGTTTTACCAGTTTTGATGGGCGCCGCCGGGGCTCGGGCCATCAGCAAATCATGGTTCACTAAACTGGAGGTTCCGGGTTCGACCCCGGTGTTGGCCGAGAAAGTTCATCGGGAATTTCCGTTATGTTTCCATCATTGTCACTCGTGTGGGACAGGGTGCCTGGCAAGGCACAAATGAAATGAGGTTTAAAGGTCCTACTGTTTTGTACCGACTGGGCAATATGTTGTTCGGGTGGGACGAGAACTGGAGATCTCGTGTACATATAGGCAAGAACCCAAATTGGAATATTTCATAAAAGTAGGCCATAACGCCGGCGTACGATCAAAATTTCCCAAACAATTACAAGAAAATGTTTTTTGATGGTTTCTGGTGCATGTAATGAAATCCTAAAAGTGTAACAAGTTATTAAAG